CTCAATAACTGTACTTTTTCCTACGTTAAAATTTGGGCCTATCGATATGTAGGAATTTCCATGCGCCAAGCGATACAGTCCCAATGCCAAAAGTTTTTCCGGTGTCACACAGTCACGCAAGTGCGTGTTTTGTCTTGTCAGGCGCGGGCGAAGAATATTCAATAGCACCGAGAACGTATTTCTGTTTAAGCGGAGCTGACGCCTGAAATAGTCTCCTGGAATTGTAGCATCAAAATAGTGTATGTCAAACCACGATTGCTGTGGTCTTGGCAAAACCCAAAAACAGGGAAAGCGACGTCCTCGACGCCTCCTTCGACGTTGGTTCCACAAAAGAAGTTGCGCTTGAAGTGCTCGTATTTGTATGAGCGAAGAAAGAAGAATGACTCTTTGAGCATCGTTAGCTGCATTTACGTTGAGAACATAGAAATAAAAACCTAGAAACAGAGCGAACTGGCGCGGATTCATTGCGGTCGTTCTATTCTACACATTGAGCGGGAAATAATAATTTGTGCGGTAAAATTTAAAAAAAAAAAGCGCCAGAAGTGACCGGTCTTATGTTTACTTTACGTTGATGTCTCTGATGTTTGTCTCTACAGTGCGACCGCAAAACAACAACATTTTAATTGTCTCGGACAAGTTCTGAGACAAAACTGTCTGCGATATCTTCAGACATTTCAAATATTTGTCTCAAGTGCGACCCCAACCTTAGTGTCATCGGCAAAAAGATAAAACTCTAGAAAAAGGTCCGAGGACGGAGCCCTGAGGGACCCCCGATAGGGTTTTCTCCTTTTTAGAAATGTCCACGTGAGATCCTATAATGATTGACAGTGTCGAGCGCTTTTTGTAAATCGGTAAAAACACCGCATGAGATTTCCCCCTTATCCCTATTTTTTTTAAAATCTTGTTTAAAATATCTAAAATAACTGGCCAATCAGAGAACCGCTTTGCCATTAAGTGCTGGTCGACCCTGTACCGGCTGTATACCGAGCGTTCCATTTCAGTGTACCAAACGTACCGGCTGTACCGAATGCCCCGTCTGTACAGGCTGTACCAGGCGAATGTACTGGCTGTACCGAGTGTAAACGAGTGTACCGAACGTCCCGGCTGTACCAGGAGTGCCGGGCTTAGCGAGAATGGTGGCTGTAAAAAGGCTTTTCTTTAGCCCTTAGAGCACCTGGTTAGATTTTGCGGCCAGTGTACAAAAAGAGATTCGAGCAAACACACCAACTTTAACGATAACGAACTGATCTCGAAGGACACAATCAGTACCGGCACTGGCGAGTTAAAATAAACAAACCTCTGTGAGAGCGTATACTTGGTCGTCGTTGAAGTGTGAAGTCTCCAATCTGTGTGTGGATGTGCGAGTAGTAAAGCAGTGCTGTTTATCGTTGAGATATCTGAAGTGGAAGTCGTCAGAGGTGGAGTTATATATTTTATGGTCGCTTATAATTATTACGACAGCTCAGTTGTATAGTTGCGATCACTTTTAAGAATTCCCAAAACGGTGGTCGCTTAAGATTGCTTTGGGACAATTTGAAATCAAAGTTCAAGAGGATAAATCCCAACAATTAGTTTGTCAAGTTCTGAAAAACATGATTATATATGTTGCCATACATTCACAGATCAACATGCTGACCTTTTTTCCCAAAAGGAGACAGGAAGTGGCGAAAATTAGAGGGGTGCGCTTACTGCAGGGTTTCCTAATGCCGCAAGCATTTAAAGTACCCATGAGGCTAATACAGAAGACGTGGACGCTGCTTAATTGAGGTCATATGGTTTTCGGGCTTCTTGGGTACAGGAAAAAATCAGCATGTATCTTCAGTTCTCATGTCACCAAAGCTTTATAAGACAGCTTTCTGGGCAACACAATCTTTCCCAGCTTTTCGCGCGTTTTCCAGATGAAAGTAAGCGATCGCAGTCAGCAGCAGAGGGATGGCAAATTCAGAGCATATTTCGTTCAACCATCTTTCTCTAAAAGTCAGGTCCATATTCCCTTACATGCATGCCACAGACTTCTTTAAAGCATACCCTAAAAGCATACACAATCTATATCCATGGCTCACCCTTACGTTATGTAGTATATTATACAGTGATCCAATAATACCAGTTGTTAAATTAAATAAGTTATATCTGCTTTGCAACAATTTTACAATGTTGTTAACGTGCTTATGGCCGACTAATGTTGCGGTCAACGGACATGCGGACAGTGTCATAACAGATCTTTCATACTGAAACGTTTGTCTGGAGGGGGGGTATTTTTGTGCATGTGGCAAAAGGGACTAAGAGGAGAGGTAATAGTTTAAAAGTAGGTACGATGCTGATGGCCAACTGCCTGATTTAAATTAAATCCGATTGAAATTAATTTTGAAATATTGTAAGCCCCATAAGAATGCTTGGTTTTGAGCCGAATAAGAGCTGGTTAGGAACAAACATGTACAAAGACGGTGAGGACAGTGTTGAGCGAACACGAAATCGTTCGATGAAGTTCAGAAGAAGAGCAATGAGGTTTAAAAGTGCACAAAAATCATTATGGTTCGAAGTCAAACCGGAAACAGCATCAATCAAGTAAACCAATTCACTCACAGTTTCCACTCTTTTCCGTGACGCAAAGTCATTTGAATGTCAATGCTGTGGTAAATTTATTTTAACGAACAGCTTAATCGATGGAACCAGTTTATAACTTTCCCACCGATGCATCAGGACAGTATTTTTAGAAAGAAAAACCTTCATTAATTTAACAACAGTCACAGCTTATAAATTTATATCAGCGAATATAGAAACTGCCGCACATAAAAGGCTATTTCCGCATTCTTTTCAAGGCTCACCCATGACATTACATATTGCACTTATCATGTATAATATATCAAATACATTAACTTTACCTCATTAAAATTGAACGCATAGCAAATCTCTTCCTCGAACAGAGAAATTGTTGTTAGGAATTACACGATTGACAATCGTTAATATCGTTATGTAGTCGAATGTTTATAACCATCAGTCACAACTCGAATTAATGAGTATCATTATGAGCAGCAAAGTTTTTTAGGAATTCTTTGCAACTGTAATTGTCACTAAAATAATAATATAATGATTTTGAAGTGACTACAACCAAGAATACAGTGGATATAATAGAGAATGAAAGATGACGAGAACGGGTAACAGTTATGTATCGTTAACGAAGTTCGTGTTAAATGCGAGTTCACAAGTTTACGAAAGCGCGCGATCGAAAGTTACATAATTTATACACAAATATTTCTGGATGCATTAATAAAGATGCAAGATTTCAAAATAATACTTTAATATTATTTTCAACATGCATTGTCTTAAAAGACAATGCGTATTGGAAAGGAAGTTATGAGGTTATCCCTGTATTGAAAATCCCCAAAGTTTACTATGAATGCAATGCAAGTAAACGTTGACTACAGCATTCTAGACATTACAAGAGCGTGCGTAACTTTTCACGGCTACGGAATTTCGCAACAACATTAAGGAGTTAACATAAAAACATAAGTGTTTAAGAGAACATACGACATCTAACAAGTGTAAATATACAGATATGGTTAAACGTAGCGATAGCTAGAGGCCCAGATTGATTTATGGATCACAGAACTCTCTACGTTTTGCAGAAGCGCGCAAACATTGATGAAAACGTGCGAACAAACGAACAATTAAATGTTTTTTCTCTATCAGCGAATAGTCACTTACGGATGTTTAAGATATACAGTGAACAGGAGAGTAATGATTCAATTAGACAATCGACACTGGTGCACATTGCACTTTAAAAGGGCACAAGGATGCTAAAGAGAATTTGTTTTAATAAAGGGGTAGGTCCACGGAAGCAGCGCAAGTTAACGACAACCATGGAGCCCAGCCTAGTCCCTAGGCGTTCTCTCTTGACCCGTTGTCCGCGCGAAGTCTGGGAAAGAACGGGCGAATAGCTCCCGGTGACGTCACAGCTCACGGTAGAGTCCAGGATTGACCGCGCCGAGAACGCCTAGGAACTAGGCTGGTGAGAAGCTATTGTACTGAAAAAGTACCTATAAAGAAATGCGCGTTAAATATTCGTCTCATTAGCACTGTATAATAGGTGGACCGCGGAAGTGAAACTATGACCGTATGAGGCGTTAAACTAACAACCGAGTTGGGAACCGGGTTGGCAAGCGAGTGAAACAAACTTTGGGCGATTTGGTTCTCCAAATTGATTAGAGACAAGTTTTTGGTTGTTGTTGTTGTTTTTTTCCTTTTTTGTTGCTTTTTAACAGAAATCGTCTTTGTCTTAGCCTAGCATCAGTTCCGATCAGGACTTTACTTCTAAACTATAGGGTTTCGCCTGATTAGAAATAAAATACCCTATTTGAAATTGAACCAAGAATTTTGAAGTCAGTCAGGTTATAGCTGGGATTACTACACATTGTTCAATGACTTTCTTGTAACCTAGTCGATCTAACAATGCAATCCCTCAGTCTATATTGAATTGGTAAGTGTAGTTCCTCCACTCGCGTTTTGTGATGCGCACACCTGACTGCAATTGGTTGTCGCAAATTTTTTGAGCCATTATGATCTGCTCTTTTCTTCGATTACAAAACAAACAACAAATTTCTCTTCTGGCCGGTGGTCCTCACTTTTCTGTTTGTTTAACTTTGTTTTATTATTGTTTACAGCCCATTTTTGCCTGCCCTGAAATAATCTGTCTTAGAGAATAACCAATTACAACAGCGTCAACAGAAGTTCTGTTATTCAGAAGTTAAGAAAAAAGAACACCGCGAAAAGATCCAAACTCTTTTTTGTCCAAACGATTATTTGTAGTCGCAAGTTTGTTTCTTTTACGCCTCTAAATGATGTAAAGTTTGCAAATAAATGCGGCTATTTTAGCAGGTGGTATTCGCATTCACCCGGTTTCCAGGTCATTTTTTCGCCGAAAAAGCTGAGGCTTTAGCCTGCTTTGACTGATAAGATGAAATTAACTGTTAGGTTATGAAACTATATGCTCAGAGAAAACAATGGAGTTTCTTGTCCTTGTCTGTTTTAAACTTTGTTTTTTCGTCTTGATTAACCCCTCTGGAGGTGGTGAGGTGAAGATTAATCGCCAACGTTTAGGAGGTAAGTGATAGCTCCTATTACCGTGAACCATCCTAGATAAGGCCCACATAAATTTCTCACGGGGTAAACTTTCTATTGATTTAAGACTGGACTTGATTTTCAACTTTGAACCATTTTCAATGTTTCAAGTACCTAGAGGTGATGTTTCTTTAAGATAAATTAAACCAATAGTATAGAATAAGAATCAGATGAAAATTTAAACCCATGGCCAGGAAATAACCAAACGATGTATGAAATAACCGTTCATTGCATCTTCTTTGTTTGGAACCTATTGATTCATTCTCCCAGGATGTAATAAACGAGTTCTCTTATTTTCCGTATCTGCCAACACCGGTTACAATTCTTTTAACTCAAAAGTAATGTGTATGATTTAACTACTCCATAGTAAGGCAAATTGTCCAGACTTATTTCAGGCTGAACAAATGACGTTCATATGTGCCCCTTTGACCCTTTTCAAACACTTACAGCTTTCAGACTAAAGTTTTTAAGGCTTAATGTAATAAAGCATACTGGTCAAGTGCTAAACACTATAACCTTACTTTAGTTAGAAGAAAGGAGAACTTACTGGAAATAGAATGGAGCTCTAGATACTTTCCATTTAATCCAGCAACTCGGCCAACCAAAGGGCAAAATACATTCTTTGATTGAGTTTATATAATTATACTATAGATATTATACAACCACAATTCCACGATTAGTGCACATTGGATATGAGTTGGCTATAATTATCTCATATCCAACAGGCGCGAGTGGAATAATTGATTTATTAAAAACGCCCACAAAATATAAAAACAACCGATTTACAGCTTGTTTTTAATTTGTAGCAGACGAGTATAATGGCTCATATAATACCATGAGGCTAAGCCAATCAGAGCTCTAGAATTGCATTATCCAATGATTCAGTTTTTAATGATACAAAATATATATTTTTCATTGAAGAACCTATAGCTGTTGACGATGTCGAGGTTTCTCGAACAAAGAGAGGATTTGGTAAATCAGGGCCACCCTGTAATAGTAAGTTTTTACAGAGATTTTATCGATTATTTCAAACAACACCCGGAGAGTAAATGTTACGAAGTTCGTCTTAATGGAAATAAAAGAGATCACAAAATAAATTTAAAAAAAATAAATTTTGGTTCAAAAACATGCTTTTACGGAGCTTAACCTGTCACACCATTTGCCAGTTGTTTCTTGTGAAAATTAGAAAGTAAAGTGTGGGACGTCTCGTGTTTCCTCCTACACTCCTTTCGTGCTCTGGCGACTTTCCGCGTGCTTTACAACAGAACAGAGCACAGTCAAGGCTTCTTTATTTTTCATTCAGTCTCACGAGCAAATGTGTAATGGGGATCTGAGACAAAAAACTATTAAATCGATGATTAAACCAACGAGCAGTACCACTGCCATGCGTTTTTCCTTTCGTATCACAAATTTATTTAAATTCAAATACTTCTCCCATCTGGATGGGACGTTAATTGTCCTTCGCAGGGTCACTCCCAGCAATATCACCGGTACTCATTTCACACCAGGGTGAAAGAGGAGAAAAAGGAGCAAATTTTCTTCTCTAAGGAAACGACAAGATGCTAGCGCTTAAAGGGAAAAATTTTAAAAAATCCGAATTGAGTTTTTACTGTTCGGTTCTAACAACGTTTTTTATCCTTGTCTTCATTTCAGTGGAGCATGGCGTGTATCTAGAAAAATGGGACACAATCGACTATAACCGTGTTGAATTTCTGCAAGCAGATCCTCGTTATCCAGATCTACCTAGCTATACAACTTGTTTTCCCACGTTCGAGCAGCCTTCGAACTGGGATGACTTCTTCGGGACTCGTTTAAGAACATATTTTGTGCCTACTGAAAACGGCATCCATTACTTCATGATATGTAAGTTGTTTTCTTCGGCAATGAAAGATATTTGTCACTGACAACCTTCGGATTGAAATGCAGTGTGAGTAAAAACGACAAAATACTGGCAAAGAAAAGTTATAGAGTTTAATTTTCACTTAATTGTCTGGCAATTCTTCCATAAGGACGCGGCTTTTTTTTTCTAAAATAGAAACTAAAATCCCCGCTACGACAACTATAACAGAGAGCTTTTTATCAGATCTTATGAATTTTATTTGTCTTGTCATGGTTTGAATTGAGAGACTCTCCAGTGACATTGACCACTCCTTTGAACGGTTAAAAATAAGCAATAACTTCTAATTTATGGTGGAAACAATTAATAACAAAATTTTAGCGCCCTTACGCTTTGCAATGCTGTAATACTTTGTTATATTCACGGGAACCCGTTTTTTGTTGCTGCTGTAGTACTTTTGAATGACTGAAATGTTTTAATTAATTAACAGCATCTAGAGGTGGAAGTGATCTGTTTCTCAGTACAAATTACGATCCTAAGAACAAGGCTCTAATTTGCGCTGTACAAGCAGGATTTTCGACTGGGCAATATGAGTACGACAGGTGAGATATTTTCCCCGGGGGGTACTCCCTATGATGGCCTATACGGAGAGGGTCCGTCCGAAAGGGGTATCTCCAGGGATATTTGTAGCTCTTTTATGATTATCACTTTTTAGTAGTCCTTTTATTAGAAAATAGATTCACAATCCTTGAAATATCTGAATCGATCCAGTGACAATTTTGGTGATTTCCATCTGACTTCATAAGTACGCTTTTCACCCTTTACGTTTTCTGGCTATGGATGTGGTTTTCAAACAACGTTTTCGGCCTATTCCCTCTTCTAAATTTTAAAAAACTCAGACTAGGTTAATGAAGGCACATAAACAGCGTTATACGATTTTCTTTGGAACGCGGGCAAAAATTCATAATGCCTTCCAGTCATGTAGGTACCTGTAAATCGTCCATATTTGACACTTGAAGTCTTTGGTCCTGAACATGGTATTTCTGACCCATATTTGAGTATGTGTCAAGCTTCGACATGTTTTTTCTTTGACCTAATTTAATGTCATCTCCCTAGTAATAATTCGTTTATGGGGTCACGGTTTTGAATTGTAGTCTATTCGACAAACGACCAGAAAAAAGTACGACGGAGAACTTGAAACGCCCAGTCAGTATGAGAGATCGTGGATAACTAGAAACACATTTTTTTGCATTTCTCTTCTTGCTATAGGTTCAAAAAACAGACCTCAAACGCAGTGTACATGAAGAAGGGAAAATACTATTACATGGAGGCTCTAATGAAAGATGACCATCAGAAGGATCATTTGGAAGTTGGTTTAAAAACACCAAGTGGAAAAGTTTTCGAAGTGATACCATCGGAATTCCTTTGGACCACTCTCAAACAAATGAAGAGTCAGTATATATATTTAGTTCAATTTTATCCTTAGTTTAATTTTCATTTTTCTTCTTTTGTTTGTATGGTTATGTTGGATAGTCAGAGTTCAAAAGTGAGAATAAAAAGTTGAACCAAGGAAAAAGATGAACGTCAACTGACGTAAACATTTTTAGGCTAATTTGGAAGCCTATACAAGATTGACCTCAATCTTCTAAGTCATCTGTTTCTCTCCCAATTCTGTCGAGCCTTTCAGGGTATTTTTTATTTTCTTTTATTCCAAGTTTTGATAGAGACCAGAAAGAGAATAATCATCGATACCGCTGGCAATCGCGGCTTAAAATTAGGAAATTTAAAGATGATACGGTCGTCCAAAGCGAGCGAAGATATTCAGTTGCTCCACAAAGTCGTGAAATTTTAATGTTTGTATGGCGTGGGGCAAGAACTTTCCACCCTTCTCCCTCACCATAAAAATGTCTGTAAAATTCTGTGACTTTTCGGAGCTTTGTCTTCGTTACTTTTCAACTAATATCTTTCAATCTAGGCAGCTTTACTGATTTTAAGACGTTCTCATCAGCCGTGTTGATGGATTTTTGCTAACTAACACCAGTCGAAGTTGACAAAGAACCGTGGGTGTTTCTATTAAAACTAACTTAAGAGTATTTCCCTCTTAGAACCTAACACGACAGAAAGTAAGGTGTTAATTACGGCTGCAGCACAATCAGGAGCGAAAGCAGGTAAATTTTATGGAGAAAAATGGGCGAAGGAGTCTGGTGCAGAAGCAGGGTACACGGCCGGTGCCATGGCTGGAAGGGAAGCTGGAACATCAGCAGGAGCTAGTGCTGGTGAGAAGGCAGCCATTAAAACAATAACAAAAGCACTGGAAGATGCATTGAATAAACTTCACGGTGATGATGGACACAAATTTAAGATCACTGTTAAGGACGGCACAGTGGTGTCGGTGACTGGTCCTGGATTGGATAATGAACCTGTTGGCAGTTCTTCTGGATCCACAGGTTATTCGTGGAGTGCGGGAGGAGGTGGTGGGGAGGCCGGTGCAGCTAGAGGAGCAGGAGGAGTCACTGGAGCCGTTGGTGGCGAGGGAGGGAAAGGTGGATGGGGTGGGGGAGGAGGACAAGGCAGAGGAGAAGGATGGGGAGTTGGTGGAGCTGGAAGTAGTAAAGGATTAAGGACAGGTGGAGCTGGAGAAGAAGGAACCGGTGAAGTAGGTGCAAAAGGAGGTGACAGGGGAAATGAAGAAGCCGGTGCAACTGGTGGAACTCAAGGTGGAACAGGTGGGGGTCGTGAAGGAGCAATGGGAGCTTCCGGTGGTACCTTGGGTTTCGGAAAAGGTGCAAACTTTCAAAACAAAACTGGTGGCGGCGCCAATTCTAAGTCTTCAATGCCTCCTAATGCACATAGAAAGGTGACTTATATTCCAAAACAAGGAGAAGATCCTCAGACAATGGCAAGATCACTGGTATGGAGAGCTGGCGGAGCATCCAAAAGTAAGTTAGTCGTACTGGTGTTTATCTTCGAGGAACTGGATAAAGATAAGCAGGTGACGTCCTAGTACATCTTACAGAGATTCCAGCTTTTGTTACATGATACCTAATAGCTTTTCTTTTTACCTGATTTTTCATAAGAAGTCTGAAACTTTTCAACACATGCTAAACCTTTGCTTGTACCATAAGTTTAATTTGATAACTTCACGGAAGAATGTGATCGCGATTTATGGCAATGAGATGCGATCAGCTTAGTCTTAGAATTCGATATCAAAACTATGATTTTTTCTTTCAGTTGTGGACAAAGGAATGTATACAATTCATTCAGGCCTAATACCATTCTATCAGGAAAACTTCACTCTCAATTTCTGCTGGCGATCGTTTGATGGGCAAATGTTCTTGAAGCCTGTATGCAACGTTTTCATTGCGCACGTTCCAGGTTTGTATAGTGGACAAAGTGATGGGAATGAGGATAGTGTTTCGTTTGAGTCAGCTTGCGCGCCTGGGTATTTTTTGAGACAGAAGAACTATCGACTGCTGATTAAGGAGAGAGATGGATCATCTCTTTTTGGTAAGTCATTGAAAGATTTTACTGCATGAGCTTGGTCTAATAACCATTAGGTTAAATAGTAACAATTTTTGTCGATCTATTTGGAAGAAAAAGGAAGACCAAGGATAAAATACAGAACCGATCAAAGGGCTTAAGCTTGAAACCTACGACTTGCTTGTCCAAAAAATTAACATTTTTACCGGTTACAAAATATCGACTAGATTCATGACTTTGGCCAGTCAAAAGCAATGCCTATAAATTACTTCAGAAATAAGTGACCAGCGGCTCTTTCGTTCTTTTTTCAATTTTTGTTTGTGTTTTATAAATTTGCTGCCTTTGGGTCGCCGACGATGAGGCAAAAATATCAATGTTTATAATCGTTAGCTTTTATGTTCATAAATAAATACTTTTCTATTACATTCAGATTGATAGGAATGCTATTGACCGTTGTGCATGTTCAAGTCCAAAAAGGCTAAAAAAGATTTAACAATGAAGTCTGATGGGGTTCACATATACCATTGCAATTTATCATAACCATGATGATCAACTTCACTAGAACATAGCTATTTAGTTCTCCTCTAGAACATAGCTATCTAGTTCTGCTCTAGAACACAGCCATTTTGGAGGACCAAGTGACACCCGTCACTTCACAATCGTAACATTTTCTTGTTTGTAAATTTGGATTTGAATCTGAGCAAACGCTGGAGTTTCGCCTACTGTTTTCGGAAAGCAAATGATCCCTGAACTGTCTATCACACTGCGCTGCATTAAAGTATACAGCAGCTTTAGTTTGCTATTGTTCCTTTTTAGCTCACTGCCTTTTTAATTTTTGTCTTTTTTAGATAAAGATGCGTCATTCTATATTTACTCAGTCATGAAGTATTTCCGAAATTTTCTCTTTCACTCCATGCACGATGACTGGTACATCTGTGAAAGTGATCAACGCTCATCAAAACTAAGGACAGTCCGACAAAAGATTAAAATAGTTTTGGACTTTTACAATGGCGACCCGGATGTCCTCGATCGTTGCACCTTCTTGCTTTACCCAATACCTCCAAGCATGAGTAAGCTAAAAAACTGTCAAGGTGCGATTGGGCCCGTGTCACTTAACACCATCAATGGACAAGCACCTCCTGAACCGCCTCCTTTGGTGCCACCAAAACCATCAGTCTCCGTCTTGCCTGCTTGTTTGCCAACATGCCCGGTTATAAAACCAGCAGCGAATTCAACATCTCCAACTCCTAGACGTGAGTCACGGTAGTGTTAAATTAGACTACGAGTAGTCCCCATTTTTCCTCAGGGATAGTAGAGCGAGCGAAACGCGAGCGCGCGTGAAAATCACCTCACTCGAAAAATGGCGACACGCTGCGTCTCGCCTTTTCTCGCGTGGGGTAATTTTCACGCGAATTCGCGTTTCGCTCGCTCTACTATCTCTGAGGAAAAATGGGGACTACTCGTAGTCTAGTGTTAAATGGACGCGTCGTTCAACCCCTCCCGGGGAGAGAAGGGCCAATCAACTAGGTTTCGTTCAGGGAGGGTTCGCCCAGAGGTCCAACCTGGCCTCTTAACTTTTTATACTGCACTTGCGACCAAAACGGTAACCCTTTTATTCATATTTTATTGAAAATTCCTGAACTAGTGGTACTCCTTTATATACCTGTATAAAGACATTTTGGTTATTAACGGAGCGACTTTAACTCATTTTTCTATTGAGTAACCTCATATATGTGAATGGATAAGCCGAAAGGCGAGGCAGTTGGAGAGATTTGGAAAGACTCTTATAAAATCCTTAATTGGCAGTTTTTCCTTGCTCTTATTATACCTCATTCCTTGTAATCCCAACCCTTTTATATAACAAGAGCAAAAAATTGATAAAAATAATAATAGTTCGAGATAGATTTACAAAATATATATATATAAATATAACCATGAAAGCAAAATTCGAATGAAAATTGAGTTCGAATTTAGATAATTTCACGTGGGTTAATAACTTCAAATGATGATTGGATTCCCATTTCCAGATCTTATAATTTGAGCCCAGTAGAAGTTTCTTAGCCACTGCATAACGTACTTACATTTGAATTTTACAGAATGGTGTGTCGCTTTGAATTTCATCAACAATTTTGGTTTGCCTTTCAAACTCTTCTCATCGCTCAAACATGAAGGATATTTTATTACTGGGCCAGGCTTCAGACTTAAACTTATTATAAAGCGACCCGAGCTTCATAGCCACGTGACCTTCAATGCTGTTGACATAACAGGAAGAGAACTTTTCCTAAATGGACAGACAAGTGTTTCAGAGCCAGTGGTCTTAGGTTGTCCTGTGTTTTTGGACGTGCATGTTACATCAAGTCTAGGTAATTCTGGTTGTCGAGCTTAAGATAACTCTTTTTAATTTACCGTATGAAACGCTGCGGCGTGCAATAAATTTTTAGTGGGGTTTACGATGCGGTGTTTGTAACCACTCGATATTTCACTTTTTTGCTGAGATAGAATCGTAATTGTTTGGCTTTTGACAGTTAACCGAGGTCTAAGGTACTAGTATTTATTATCATTTTTTTATATCAGATTCGAGACAACGCCGCTTCTTCTGATTGGGTGCGGCGTTGATTCGAGGACGGTGCAAATTAAAGACGCGAAATCAATGTGGTACTGAGTAACATACTCAGAGCCAAGATTTTTCCATTTCGTTCCCTCTTTTGCGAAAGTATTTTTTTCTGTAGGTGTGTAAATGCTAACAAAGCATACGGATGTTCCAAATAATCTAAGTCGCGGTTTGTTTGCAGAATGCCCAAGCAGATGTACCAACCGAGTAGTGTGCTTCTGGATTCATTCCTGTCCGTCACATTGTTGTAAGGCTACTGTTGCTTGAAGTTATTCAAAAGAAAAAACGCTGCACAGCAGGTGATACAAAGAGGGAGAACGTCTGCTGTGGAAAATTTTTTATCATTACTTAACTGCAAATGAACAACTTTTTTATTGTTTTTCAACAGAGCAATGAGATTATTGCAACGAATCTACGTATGTATTTGTTTGAACAACACTATAGAATAAACTTTGATTGAATGATGTATAGACCTTTGCTTCAATGGCGCCGATATACAATTGTTGGATGAGGTTGAATATGATATCAAAAAATATACCTAAAGAGGACTAAAGAGTGGTGCAGACTATTATAGCCAAATAAAGAGTGCTGCAATCAAACGTGAGAAGGGAAAGTCTGAACTGCGTACTATTGGTTATGTTTACACCTTACCGAATGGCTTTCTCGCAGGCACGAAGACCGTATCTGATAGGCCCACTGTTCACACTTAAGAACGGTGATTTCGGCGCGCAAAGCTGCGTTTTCCCGATCTCTAAAGTGGAGAGTCACAAATCGGATCGGTGTTCACACTGATACCAGATAGCTTTTTTTGTGTTGGCCCGAAAAGCTATCCGCATAGTGTAAACATACGTCTTAGATTTGCCTACAAAATATGTTTGTCATATATACGTTTTGCAAGTCAACTCTTCTACTCGTAAAATGAAAATTGCTTAGCAACACTAAGGAATGAGACTCATTAATAAAACTGCTTATCACAAGTGGAACTGACTGGTGTTGAATTCAGTGCTGTTATACCTGCTCATAGTAAGGGCAATCCGTAAATGTCAACAGCCAGCGTTGTAAAACAGTGGCCCGTGAACTTCAGCAATAAATTAATCGGAGCCCGGAAATAAGTGGATTATAATTCACTGTTTTTGTGTCTTAGTTGATGAGCCTTAGAATCATAACGATCTAAAAATTTTGAAACAATAGCCAGTCTTCAAGGTTTGGTGGTCGCCAAATCACAGGCGGGGACAGGTGGTTTGAAATGTCAATTTTGAAGAAAAAATCGTGTACCCTGTTATTTTTTCACATCCTTGGCGATGATGTGTTTAAGAAATGTCGTTTACTACGCCATCCTATTTATAGTGAGATTTTCCAAAAAAAGTGGACAAATCAAAACAAGAGCGAATTCAGCAGGTAAGGATTTTTTTCGCACTCTGCTAGCTATGAATCGTCTCGCACAGAAAACTTCCACTCTTCAATATTATGATATTTATTAAAAAATTGAAAGTACTTGTAATGACATTTTTTATATTGGACTGAGCAAAACGTGATTCTAATATTTACACCTGTAAACACAACAACATTTTTCACACAAAATTTGGGAACAAAATAGACCAAAATATATACAGCAATTATAGGAGCACCGATTGTGAACAGGTCAGTAAATAAAACAGGGAATAAAACAAATAAAATTCTCGTTTGATGAATAACCCACTGAGAATGGACAACAAAAAATTGAAGTTCGAGTTTGAAAAGCTAAGAAACTTTATATTTTGTGCCTGCTTGTCAGTCGTTCAGAAAACTTTGCAATATAAATCGATATGAACATCGTATTTTGTATCTTACTAAAACGGGGAAGAGAGTGGGCAACGACCACTTTCTCCGCAAGCTCGTACCTCCGTTCCCCGTTTTAAAGGAGCTGTGTCACGGCAGTCCAGTTTATTTTCTTTAATTTTGCCAATTACTCGCCCTGGAACTTAAAATAAGCAAAGAAATTACAGGAAAATGACAACATCAGAGATCCGAGACAAACAAATATGTCTCCTGAGCATTATTTTTGAAGTTGCAAGCAGCAGGGATCAACTTAGAAAAACTGTTAAGCTGAACAGTTTTCAAAAACCCTAATTTCAATCCGTTTCAATCTTCTTCAGGTTTGCCCATCCGTGGCATCTGTTGTTTCTGTTATGTTATTTTAACCTTCCTTTAAAGTTTTGAGCCTTTAGTTTTATGTTTCTCGTAATTTAATGGGCATTTTGTAATTTCCTAATTTGGCTGAATTTCGTGACACAGTTCCTTTAATAAAATCGCTCCGGGACCACAAAACGTTTGACTGAACTGGGGCAATTGCCGATCTTTTGACCGCATTTTTGTTAACATATACAAATTTACATAAGACGACGCTCACGGTCATTCCGGCCTATTTGTCTCTGGAGATGCGGCAATTGATATCCCCTAATTTATTAAAGGGAAAATTAAGGGACCTGAATTTCAATTGTCAAAAAGCAGGTGTTTTCTTTTCATCTTTATTATTTTAGTTTTTATCTTAGATTCTAGATTAGTTAGATAGTTAGTTTTCTATACTCGAGTGTAAATGCACCTGAAGGAAATACCATGTATAAATAAAATTAAAATACCATACCATACCATACAGTTTCGAAGAAGACAGCAGTGTCCGGGATGGGGGCTACTGCCATATTTGGGGCTATTTGGTATATGCCGTTAGTCTAGAATAAAGATAGAAATCGAGGAGTCTGAACAATTTTCCAAGAAACTGATCAATTGCATTGTCTATTGTAGGGTAAGAAAATCAGCTGAACATGGCCCAGTCAGGGGGGGGGGGGAAATAGGCTCCTGGTCCCGGTATAGGCTGGGGGTTTCAGGGTCCCAACGGAATATCCCACCCAAAACGTCCTAAAGTATCTCCCCAGGCCCGGTGTGGTTTTACACTTTGTCCGGGTTTTCGAATGCATATTAGAATGTGCTAGAAAGGGTTAAATAAACTTTGCAGTTTTGAATCCAGGACTTGGTGGCATAATATACAAAGAGGGTAACCCTTTGACTTTGACACCTATGATTGTCTGCACTATTAGCCAGTAACTAGACGCTTACTGACAGTTTACTTGTAAAACAGAGTATGTAATCAACAAAGTAATTAAAGAGGGTCTGAATGGGGGTACCTAGATAACACTAAACACTTCATTATTTTGGCTTTGTAAATTTTAGGCACTTTAACACTAACAGTAAAAATATCTTTGAAACAGTAAATTTTTCCAGAAAGAAGCAAAAACGGCTCCAAAAAGGCTAATATTATTTTGTTTAGAATATCAAGGAGTTTTCGGCCATTTTACGACAATTCCCGATTATTTCAGAAGATTTCCGAAGGCTACTTGTCCGACCATTGCCGAAGATGTCCGAAGAACCCTACAAACACTTAACAGTGTCTTCTTGGGGAACAGTAAACAAAAATTGACCAATTTAACAGCAAACACTAAAAATTATGGGCAAATAACACTAAACACTAAACCCCATTCAGACCCTCATTAAAGCCATTTCACCCGTGGCTGTTGCCCACGGGGAATTATTAAGGAACGTTTTATGTGTGACTGACTTCTCCAAGGTAAAATTGTCTCACCATGGAATCGAGGGACAAGGCATTATAATAATTACTTCATATGGTGTAAGCTATGGCGTAATGGGTATAATCTTCGCTACAGTTTGGGTGTTGTGACTCATTACATGAGTTAATTTTTCGCGTGTTGATGAAATATACGTAACCAATCAATATTTGATCTTTATCGTTTGGAAGGAGCCGAAATAACCTTATTTGATTCTTAATGATTTAAGACGCCAAGAGTGTTTAAAAGACAGTACTGGAAACACGTGAATCGCAGGACCTCGCGTGGCACTTCGGGGGAACGGCAAGAAGTAGGAAAGGGAAATAACGTAATAGGGAAAAAAAATTTATAAATTTAAGAATTAATGTTTTTCAATTTTCATGATTACAAGCACTGGATGATAACCATGCGTTGACGAGGCAACGAAGAACTTTTGGTAAAGCGGATCCAGTTTGTCCTGATAGTAAGTAAGAATTTTAAGGGGTCTTCACTTGCTCAATTAATTGCCCCATTAAGAAGTTTTTCACAACTCTTCATGTCAACCTCGTCATCATCAACAACAACAACAACTTTTTTAACAGCAATAAAATACTGAGCATACACACTACCTACATTTAGCAAACGCTTTTCGAGGCAGACAGTGTGGGGACGCTACATACATGAACTGATACATTTTGAGACATTTTACAAGAAAAATAACAGAGATTGACAGAACCTCGAGTTGATTCTTCATTTCTTGATTACTTTTCTTGAGAGCCTTTGATCCTATCTGGCATTATATAGTCGTTGGCCAAATTTAACAAGCTCACAAGAACGAGGGAAAACATACGTGTGCACCTTGCACGCACACATGCATGCAAGGCGACCCAGTCTCCTCTCTCCTTTTCCTAGACTTCACGCGATATCCCCCAACTGGAGAAATTTCTCGCACGCTCACGCTCTTTCTAGCACGCTCATGATAGTATGCTGCAGCGTAATTGTCGGAACTTGACTAGGCTGTTGCTTATTCTGTTATAGTGACTAACGGTGCGTATTTGGAGAGATGGGACAGGATAGATTACAAACGAGTCAAATTTCTTCTTAACGATGCACGCTATCCACACCATCCGTCCCGGTCACTATGTGTTCCTGATTTTCAACAACCTCAGAACTGGACAGATTTCTTTGGTGCTCGGATGAGAACTTATTTTAAGCCTCTTCAGTCAGGATACCACAAATTTATGATTTGTAAGTATTAAAGCAATGGTTTGTGGATACTTCTTACCTTACAAACTGTTGTATGTCTTGAGAAGTCTGCCTATAAAATAATAGATAAATAAATAAATAAAATGCACTATAATGTGTGCGAAAAGTATAGTTGTCAGGTCGGTGAAAACCGAGATCGCGAGACTTCTCTAAGAGCAGACTATCATCAGACGCTCTGAATAATGATGATTGAATAAAGATGATGATGATAATAATAATAATAATAATAATAATAATAATAATAATAATAATTACGACTGACCAGCGTATCACGAAATGGTTTATTTCGCCCATCAAACTTTAAACAAGAGACCTTTTGTTCGAGGTGGCATCTGCCCGAACAGAGCCGAAGAATGTTTGAATAATCAGAAACCTTCTATGGGCGGGACAAACTTGCGTACCACGGGGGGTGGGGAGTGCTAATTGATCTGTTAAGAATGAAATCTCACTAGGGTACCGACAAGAATAGTCTATAGCTCCTCATTCAGGAGCTATAGAGAGCTGTTCTACTAGAAGTAGTATTTCATATGCAATACTGACGTACACAAATTGTTAGTCTTTGCTTCAGCTTCTTAACACATCAGGCACTGAGGCAGTGAGCTGTTCTGAAAACTTGATCCGTTAGTCCCGTCATTGACATCATTGCATACTTTTTAATGAACCTGCCGCGTGCGTAGACTTCGCCCGATACTATTATTCCGTTACTACAAAGATTTCGTTCATAGTTATCCAAGCAGCGGAGAATAGGTTCTCAAACAACTGGCTTTCTTTTTGCGCGACAACGCGCTTTGAATCGAAAAGGTGTGATCTTTTTACTTCAGATACAGCACAGCACGTGCATGTAAGAGAACACGAGTTACACACCAAGTGCCAGTGGCTTTTACTTACAGAGAGCATAGTGGTTATTAGAGGAGACTGGTTATGAAAGAAAACAAACATCAAATATAAAAACAACGGTGCACAATCCTTTGTTTTTCGGCAAATTGTGACGAAATAAATTAATGGGACGTATTTATTGGCCAAAAATATCAAAATTCTAGGAATGCTATTGCACGTTCGTTGACAGCGTCAGGTCCACAAAAACATAAAACAATTGAGTCTGACGGGTTTCATAACCATTCCAGTCTATTAGTTATGCAGAGAGCTATAAATTTTGTCAGTAGGCAAGAGTAAGCAAGTCCACACAAATCCGAAAATTTTTGAAGCCGCATACTTCCGTCCACACAGTGAAACCAGTGAATGCGGTCACCGAAACCGCATTGTTTTGAAACCGGTTTTCAGAGAAGTTTAACGTCCCGTCCACCAGGAATCCGGATAAAAACTATGCGGTTTTAAAAATGTTTGGAGTCGTGTGGACATGAACTAAGTGTAGCGGCATAAGCTGTGTTTTAGTAGAAGTAAAAAAGGAGGTACGATTTTTTTCAATCTTTTTGCTCACATAATCGTATTCATCAAAATATGCTTTTTATAGATCGATTTGTTTCATTTAACAACGAATAACAAAACTAAGTACCCACGATAGCTTGGTCAGTCTTAATACACTGAAAAATGATAAATTATAGAATTAAGGTTCTGGAGGGTGTTATCAACCGAAATCTAATTCTTCACATCATACACTGCTTAATAAATAATCATATTTTACTTTCTCTGACAGCATCAAACGCTGGCAGTGAATTGTACATCAGCCCAAATACCGATCCGAATAACAAAAAAGTGATTGCATCTGTAGATGGCGGTTTTCCCAGCCAACCATATGAGTACGATAGGTAGGCAGATATATATATATATATATATACAACATTTCATTCTATTCCTAAAGGACCTGTTAGGCCGGCCGGTTTCTGTAGGCTCGCTTACCAGCCGCTGCTCGAGGAATGAGCGCGTTACTCCCTCAAGAAGGACCAAGACCGGACCCAAGAGAACGGAGGCCAGGGACCGTGCAGCAAGTTTTCGAGTGGGGGGGGGGGCTAAAGAAGAATGCGTGAAGGAAAATTTTGGGGGGGGGCGGGGGGAGCATGCTTGTGGATTTCTATTCAATTTCTCTAAAGTGACGGAGAATGCGAATAACGATAAAACTATTGATTTTTTTCCACATCTTCAGTGATGTTGCTATCGGGTCTGAAAATTCACCATCACTAAATTGAAATATCATATATGTTATACTACTGATATCAACCTTTAATTACTATAAATAAGCCAGAAATCCAACGATTTTGCTTGAGCTGCCTTGAACTCAAGGCTGCATAATTACTGAGCAATTATTGCGCGAGGCTGAGTATGATATGAAGAGTTATGCAGATCGAGGGGGTTATCCGCCAAAGCCGAAGGCTTGAGCCCGGTGGATAACACCCTCCGAGATCTGTATATCTTCATATCATACGAAAGCCGAGTTCAATAATTGTTTAATTATTCATTCAAAATATTTACACGGAAAAACAAAACGGTAACTGAAAATAATTTAGTGAATGAAAATTCAATTATAGAACAGATCAGAAAAAAGTAGAAAAAATTATGCAGAGTTTACTCACCAGATAAAGAAGGTTTTCCATTTTGTTTGGAAAAGTAATCAGAAATTTTGAGAGATCTGTACAGTACCGCAAGTGATCCCCAACCGCAAATGATCCCGAGACCGCAAATGATTCCCAAAATGGACCGCAAATGAACCTCGACCGCAAGTGATCCCCAAAGTTGACCGCAAATGATCCCGAAAGAAAAAAAGGAATGGCTTAGACTCGAGTTAGCGGATCATCGTGTCTATTTTATTATTATTACAACAAGTAAGATTAAACGCTAAATTTCAGTTCTAAAATAAATACATGAATAAAAACTAAATGAAAAAATCATTCAAGTGTAAAAACGAAGTCGGTAGGCAACACACGACTTTTACCTCATGCCAAAATGCTGCTTGTTCCAATGAATTTTCTCCCTGGCGGGTAGATTATACCTCTGAAGGAACACGTTTTGTCTGAGCGAATGTGATTTTTGCCGCTTATTTCATACTGAGAGGTCATGACACGCATTTTCGGCAGTTATTGTTGTTTCTGGTCGGCATGATTTGTCCTTTAATGCAAGAACATTTCCTTTGACCTCTTTTCAAATGCAATGCTTTTCATTGCGGCTAAATAAGGGTTTTAGGTTGTTTAATTTTCTTTAAAGTGCCTCATGGATCCGAATAATTATAAGCGACTTTTTTTTAGTCCGTAAATGTGACGGTTCCTACGATGTTTTGTCACTCGATAACTACCGCTTGCCTCGCTTTTGCGTTTCTCATTACCAGGGCACTCCCAGGCCTGGGACACTCCTAAGTTACGAACCAATGTCTTGCTTTTTATCACGTAAAATTAACACTTCAGAGAAAAATCAAAACTAAATATTCTGAAAATTAATTGGACACTTCTAAAAAGATCAGTAAAGTCAATAAAGCTCTTGTTATGCAGAGGGTGCCCAGCTTTGTATTCCTCAGTAGACAAGTTGCATTGAGCTTGGGCGTTAAAATAATAGAGTTTTTTCTGCGTAACGTCCTGCCTGTCTTAAATTTGCAGCCACGAAACAGTTCTTTAAAGAAAATTGAAGCAATTGACAATGGAAGAAGTATACGGTTGATACCATATCTTTTTCAGATTTATTCTACTTTTTTTTGGCCTTGTATAAATTGACCTGAGACGAAGCGTCCTCCTTCCCTCTTTATTTAGAAGGCGCGAGAAAAAGGTTCCTTTTTTTATAATCAGTCTTTTTTTGTAATCAGTCCCATAAAATCCATTCCATTCCTCAAGTTTTCACGGGATCATTTGCGGTCAACTTTGGGGATCACTTGCGGTCGCGGATCATTTGCGGTCCATTTTGGGTATCATTTGCGGTCTCGGGATCATTTGCGGTTGGGGATCATTTGCGGTACTGTACAGATCTCTTCTTTGCATTACTAGTGGTATGTGAAGTCTCGTCGTTCGTATTTATGTTGCCGTGTACCATATGCACTTCTTTGTTCGTAATAACCGCCGGATTGAATGTTCCTTGATGACCAGAGCTATACACAATTCTGCGGTTTAAGTACTTTCGATGACAAAATGTTTTTATAAACAGACCGCGTTCAACAAAACTTGCAATTGGAATGCTCAACGAGCCGTGAAGCCGGACATCAAAAGACGGACTTCGCGCTGATCGAGCTAAAATCAGGACGCACAATAACAAGAGAAACAATAACTTCATGATCTTCCAAAAATCAAGGTTGAAACTAATAAACAATTTGTTTGAGAATCGCCTTATAAACTAAACCCAGTTATTACTTTGGATCGAAACTGACCAATTACGACGCGTTAGAAGCGAAAAAATATTCTACTATTGTAACGACTAATGCTTCATTCTGTCTATTTATCTGCGCGTTTGTCTTTGCCAGTAACTCTGGTCACTTTCGAATTAACGATTTTTTGCTATTTTTCACTCCGTTACTTTTGCTAAATTATTTTTTGTTTAATTTATTTTTATTCTTGCAAAAAAGTGGGGGGGGGGGGGGCTAAAGCCCCCCCAGACCCTCCCTCTGCGCGGTCCCTGGGAGGAGATTTCCTAGGTCATCGACATTTAAAAAAGTCTCTTACTTGCAATTAATTACTTTATTTATCTGACTTACGTATCACCCTTTTTATTCCAGGTACGTAAGCCAAACGTCTACCCCTATGGAACTGAAAAAAGGAAAATACTACTACATGGAAACTGTAATGAAAGATGACCATCAGCCTGATCACTTAGAAGTCGGACTTGTGACGCCAGACGGGACACAGTATAGTTATATACCCGGCTCTAAATTCTTGTGGACGATATTGCCATTACCACACTGTATGTATAGAAAGTGCAAGGCCTTTTTTAAGGGATCCATTATATTGGTTCAAGTTGATTCAATATTGTTGATATTGTTCAATATTGTTGGGGAGCAAGGGATGGCGTAGTGGTGAGAGCGCTCGCCTCCCACCAATGTGGCCCGGGTTCAAATCCCGGCGTCGACGCATATGTGGGTTGAGTTTCTTGTTGGTTCTAACAAACTCAACCCACTCTCTCCTTTGCTCCGAGAGGTTTTTCTCCGGGCACTCCGGTTTTCTCCTCTCCTCAAAAACCAACATTTCCAAATTCCAATTCAACCAGGAATCAGGTGGACAAAGAACCACTTTGTGGATGTGCTACCTCCAAATCATTATTTATTTATTTATTTATTTATTTGTGACCTGTTTGATGCCTTTGATCACGAAAGATATTGCATGGATGATGTTTGACGATGTTTGATTAGATTTAAATTAGTTGAGACTGTTGTCTCCATCCAAATGGACTTAGCACAAGCCAAAAATATTGGATAACGTTGTACTAACATATTGGGTCCATTTCAGTGCAATTTTATTCAAAAATGAATGCTACTGACAGTTTCTCAGGAAGCAACGACAGCTGCGCGGTAACCGCGAAACCTCCTCCGAGCACAATGTCGTATTGTGTCAAATTACGATCAATAAGTCCACTATCCTATGCTATTGAAATTCAGCCACAGTAGGTACTACGTAATGAAGATGGTTTAAAACCGAGAAAGCCATCCCACCCTCTTTTTCACTTCACATTTTTCACTTTCACATTTTTTACTACACCGCGCTTTTGTAAAACTCAAATTCTGGATCAAAAGCCATTCTGCAGGCCGTTGTTCTTATGCAAAATCCATGGGGCTTAATTTATACTTTATTGATAATGTTTTTCTAGCAAAAAATGCTACCTACAAGACATATTTGATAAAGGTAGCGGCATTGGCTGGGGCAAAAGCTGGTTCTTCATTTGGTTCGAGCTGGGCAATGAAAAGTGGTGCGAAAGCAGGGGCCAAGGCTGGTGCCATGGCGGGAATGGCGGCAGGAGCATCAGCTGGAGCCACAGCAGGGGTAACAGCAGCTATTAAAGCTGTGACAAAAACACTGCAAGAGGGTTTGAATGAACTTCATGGTGACGACTTGCATAAATATAAGATCAATGTTGTAAACGGTACCGTGGTGTCAGTAACTGGTCCCGGAATTGGTGGAGCTGCAGGCACTGCGGGGGCCGGCGCAGCTGCAGGGGCAGGGGCAGGGGCAGCTGGGACTGCAGGGGCAGGTGGAACAGTAGGGACCGCTGCAAGTGGTGGAGCAGCTGGGGCAACTGGAGCTGTAGGAGGCGCAAGTGCAGGGACTGCCGGAGCTGCTTCGGGAGGTGGTGTAGGTACCACTGTGGATGCGGGAGGGGCCGCAGCAGGTGGGGCTGCTGGTGTTGCAGGGGGTGTTTCTGCGGGGACCGGAGTAGAAGCTGGTGCTTCGAGTGGTGCCGTTACAGGCGGTGCAGGAATGCCCGGTAGTGAGAGTGCCACGGGAGCAGCAGGTGGGGTAGTAAGCGGGCAAGTCACATCACCTGCCGGCGCTGTGGTGGCAGGTGGAGTTGCACTGGCTGGTATAGCCAGAACTCCACCTCAGAATATGACCTATATTCCAAAACCAGGAGAAGATGCCCAGACCGTGGCAAGGACTCTCATCTATAAAGGAGGAGGAGCAAGAAAAAGTAAATAACGTTTTGATGTAACAACTTAGGCTACTGTAGCCAATAGGTTTTTCGGGATCCGGGATTTTCTTTACCTGAAGCTCGGGATTCGGGATTTTTAAGCAGAATGGGGGCGAGATTCGGAATTGAAAGTATGCTTGGCTAATGAGATGCCAAAAATAAAGACATTAATAACAAACCAGCAAAGAAAAAAGCGACTTGAGGTTTCCCGATATTTCGAACGGACAAGCCGTCCTTCTTAACGGGATTTAATGAAGAATGGGAAAGTCACTATAGACGAGTAGCAGTTGGAAATTTGATACAAAGATAATCGGCTAAAAAAATAAATGGGGCAATAATGAGAAACAATTCAGACAAATGCCAAAAATAACCCTCGGGATTACGGGATTGCACGAAATTTTTGAGTCGGGATTGCGGGATTGAAGAACCCTATTGGAGACCCTTAAGAGACTTTGTAATTCCAGTAAATGACGTTATCCAACGAATTTTTCCGCAGCATTCGGTTGGCCGTAATCCTAATTATGACAACATGGATATTTCACACAATCATCTTTGCAATCAGCTATCAATTTGGGAAATTTAATTTGTTATCCATCTGTCATTCATTAAAGTGCTTATTTCCTATTCACTGTCATCGTAATTCAAGTTGTAGTGACTCAAGCATGTTAAGACATAACCCAAATGCCTAATTTCCATCCACAAAGAGTTGTAACTTAAGGATTTACCTAAACAGCATCCTTAATGTCCTTGAATATTTTAGTCACCTGACCTGTTCAAACATTTTTCGTAAGCTGTGCACATTGACCACCAAGAGGATTAGTACAGTGAAGTGAAATACCAACATATTTCTACGGTTTTCGTCTTGAAGAATATGTCCTGAATGTCCGACTGCACTTTACCGTGAAAAAGTAACTTTGAAAAATAGTTCTCCTAGCATTTTTTTTAGATTAATACCTCAAGTCCTAAAAGGTCAAGGAACTGTTTTTCTGCGTAACATAATAAGTGATGGTTAAGGCTAATAGCCAGAATAGGACATAGAATGTATTTGCAAAAGTTGCTGACTTCGCGGGGGGTCAAAAATCATAGGACTGACCATGTTTGAGGAATCCTTTCTTTATCTGACCCTAGAACTATACTGTTCTTGAATTTAATCTTTTTTGTTTGTGTCGTTTATTCATTTCTTCTTTCCACAGTTGTGGCAAATGCAATGTATACCTTTCATTCATTGGTCACACCTTACCTTCAGGAAGATTTCTTCCTCAACTATTGCTGGAGATCATTGGATGGTCAGTTGTACTTGGATAGGTGGTGTCATGTTTTCATCGCCCGCGTTCCTGCATTGTATACAAACACTCAATCAAAAGACACTGTTTCCTTTGAATCTGCTTGTGCACCTGGTAACTTTATCAGACAAAAGAACTATAAGTTTCTACTTAAAAAAAGAGATGGCACGGAGCTTTTTGGTAAGAAACCAGATTTTATTGCATGTTCTACCGTTTGAAGAAAACATGAATTCTTCCCTTTTAAATATTAATTTTAAAATTTTGGTATTTGGCTATTGACACTAGAACGTACAAAACTATTTAGACTCCTTAGCACACTAATGTTCTAAAGAAAATTTGAAATATTCTCAAAATATCGCATTTTGGAGTACCCTGGGTACCAGAGGGTTCTCACGCGTGCAATGTTTAGGGACCACCGGGTCATTATTTATCGCCTGGGGGGCCTTTGAACGTTATTTCACTGAAGTGATCCCCCCTAATAACTTTGGATGACTTTCGCGATCCCCCCCCGCCCCCATGTCTTTATTTTCCAAGCATATTTGAGTGGTCCCCCTCTGAATCCTTCCAAAGTTTTAAGCGGTCCTCCCTTTTTGGGTTCTTAGTTACGACTGATCCCCCCTTTTGTTCTCCTAAAAATCAAGTGATCTCTCCTAAAATCGTCCGCCACCCCCCTCCCCCTTCGGCGATAAATAATGACCGGTCCCTTACGGCGGGATACTTTGTCGGCCGCGGGACATTTTGGTCAGTCTTACACCAAGTACTACCCAGCCAGAAACCACGCTCTGCGCTCGTTCTCGCTTGCTCACTTCGCTCTCGCACCGTCGAATTGTCGAAAAAAAGAAAGAAAAGAGATCATGGGATTTTAGGAGTTAAACTACCCTTTGAGGGTCTCAATGGGGTTTACCGTCAGCCGTCTAACGGCCTAAAAATTAACCGTCAACCGTCAAAGATGCAGGTCAAGATTAACTGCCAAAAAGTTTCAAAGTATTTCAAATCTCACTAGATCAGCTGATCTCCAAGGACTAATCCGGCTCCTAGAGAATTTCTAAGCTGCAAAAACCAGTTCCCATATTCTCAAAAACACTCTTTCTAAACATTACTGAACAGTACCTTACAACCTGGTTATATCGGAAAACATTTTGAAATATTATAAATGAAAGACCAAGACAACCTTCAAAACATTCAGTTAATATTAAATCACACAGAAGTTAATATTTACATCAACTTACATCGACTGGACTAAATTTCTACTTTTAAAAAAACCGTCAACCGTCAAAAGCTCTAAAATGTAACCGTCAGACGTCAAAATTGAAAAAATTAACTGTCAACCGTCAAAGTAGCCTGTGAACACCGTCAAAGCTACCACTCCATTGACACCCTCCCCTCTGGCAAGGGACTCTATAAGAGGCGTTATATTGTGGGAAAGCTAGACCTACCAAAGGTTTCCTGAAGTGCACAGTCACGTTCGCCTTCACCCTTAGCCTTTCCTCTGGGGGTCGGAAAGTTCACTGATGAGATAGCCTTGAGCTGGTTTTGTATCCCCAAATAGCTGATCATAGCTGTAAATGGCTATCACCAAAAGAAAGCCGGAACTGTTTAACATATTTTTCATTCACTGCTTTGATATACGTTTTAATATTAACATTTTCAGATAAGGACAGTTCATTCACCGTTTACAATGTCATGAAGTATACTCGAAATTTAATGTTTCATGCGATGCACAAAGATTGGTATATCTGTGAACATGCCGCAAAGAGGAAAAATATGCACAAGAATTATAACCTAGTGCTAGATTTTTACAAAGGTGAGCCAGACGTTCTTCCACGCTGTAGCTTCATAGGCGAGCCACTTCCAGAAGGCGTAGATAAGCGAAAGCACTGTTATGGCGTTCTCGGACCAGTAGAACCTCCAGCGATTAGTGGGCAACCGCTCTCGCACCCGGCTGGTTTGGTCCCGCCGCCAACACCACCACCGCTCGTTGGTCTTCTAGCATGTCTGCCAGTTTGCCCAGCGACTGCTACGACTCCACTTCCTGAGATTACAAGCGCTCCTATCCCAAGCAGACGTAAGTCCTTTCCGTATTTCCTTAATACTTTTTTAAACGGTAATTAACTTGTGACAAATATTTAGCCTGCTTTGCAGCCGGCCCACGCACAATCTCGTTCCCACGGTTCTCTCTTACCCGAGCGAGGTTGGCCCACGCACTCGTCTAAACCACGTTTCACACTATCACAAGCTCAATAATCGTCTCTTGTCACGAGCTATTAGTCGTGTTTGGCCTGTCATCACTCAATTCAAATCGGACTAATCACAAACCGTGTAAGAAACTAGCCAATCAAAAACGCCGACATATGTCGATGCGACTCTGCGGGATTCGAACACGATATTGCGCACTAATTCGCAGTCTGCGACGCAGGCAATAAATATTTTACTGTTTAAAAGATATACATGCGCAGTTAGTCGATATAACCCTTTCATATCGTTTTCGCGCCAAAACACCGACACCTCAGTCTGCAATAAAAACGAGTAGCGTTGGATTATATATAGGTATATGGAACAATTTCGTTGACTTCAGGATAGCCTGCCTTGAATGCGAAAGTAGGCGGTTTCTAATCAAACTATGTCGGTGGAAGCCTAATAAAATGAACTAGACAAATAGCTGTTTCACTAAAAATGAGCATTTTTATCTTTTTAATTAACAACTTTCATGGTAAGAAACAATGGGAAGAAGATGCAACAAACTGATGATGTCACAAGAACGCAATTTCCGAAAGCGTTTAAGAAATTGACTATAATAACAAAGGACTAATCACCGTGGAACATCCATTTGCTACATAAACATTTCGCGGGGTTCGACACTTTGATAAATTAGATTCCATTAACCTGAAGTGTTCACCAACGTCCGCTAGTTCAATAAAGTTGATCTTTCAGTATAGAAGCTCCTTCTTCCTTACTGTTCCTTTCGTCCAAGTTTCTCTTGAAAGGGACATCCTTAAGACGATTATTGCTCCTGCAAATATCTATCTGTCGTAACCCTTCATCAGTGGCGCCTAAAATGTGTGCAATTTCCTCCATTTGTTTCGGCTCCGAGCGTGGCTATAACCGTAGCCTGTAACAGTTCCAGGCGTTCGGATAGTAGAGCGCGGGAGAAAAATTCACGAAGAAAAAAAACAACGAGGGGGGACTAGAGGGGGAAAGGGGGAGAGAACTCGCTCTCGCCACCCCTCGTCCCCCCCCCCCCCCCGTTTTCCCGGTGTACAATTTAACTCGCTCCCAACTGACCGTCGCGCTCTACTATATGAAAGCCTGGAACAGGCTACTATAACCGACCTTTCACTTCCAGAATGAATGATGGAATCTTACAAGATGGTTATAACTTTTGAGTCTGTGGATGAAATCCTATTGTGTGACCATTCAAATGAAACCTCTTAGCAGTATTTTCACATGGTACTATTTATTTAGTAAGTAGTTCTAACGTTTGAGTCTGTGGATGAAATCCTGTGGTGTGACCATTCAAATGAAACGTAACCTCTTTGCCAGTATTTTCACATGGTGCTATTTGTTTTTCGGCATTCTACAAAAAGAAATTTGGAAATTTTGTCGAAATTTGACTTTGGCCACTTTTGGCAGTGAAAGGGTTTTAACTTAAAGTCGCTTAAGCATATTCGCTTGACCTGTCGCTGATATGATCCTCCATCTCTGCTGGATCTGTTTCATTACTTTGTGGGACAGATATCTCAGTCACCATCATCAGCCCCAACGGGTTCTAAGAAGCGCTTTCACGGAAATATTCACTTTTTAAGTCGTTTAATTTCAGCTGCATGCGTCACATTGAACTTCATCAACCTCTTGGGATTTCCATTCAAACTGCACTCTTCTCTTAAACACGAGGTATATCTCGTCAGTGGATCTGGCTTTAAACTGCGGTTTTACATAGACCGACCAGAGCTGCACAGTCACGTGATATTTTATGCCGAAGACCCAGCTGGAAAGCGAAATGTCCTTCTGAATGGGCAGCCAAGTATTACAGAGCGGGTGGTTTCTGATTGTCCTCACTTTACGGAGGTGTTAGTGACAGCCCAGCAAGGTTAACAAAATATTTAGTCCTTATCTTTTAAACTGTGACAATACAAGAGTATCTTTGCGCCCAGAATGGCTGGGAATCGCATGAAGACTTCGTATGAAGTATGTCTTTTGCATTAGTATTAACTGCGTAAGCAGAAAGACATGAATAAAATTTCAGATTTTTCTCCTTAGCTTTACCATTACATGTTCGCAAGTAAATAAATATACGTAGTGTAAGAAAGGTTTTTCGTCTTCACAGGTCCTGGTCCTGCCAATGCTTTAACGCCTACACCAGCACCTCCACCTCCTCCACCACCGCCACAAGCAGCACCCCCACAAGCAGCACCTCATCCTCCACCTCTGCCGCCGCTACCACCAGCAGCACCTCCACCACCAGCATCACCACCTCCTCCACAGCCGCCGCTGCAGACAACAGTTGCACCTCCACAGACTCCACCACCAGCACCACCACCACCACAAGCAGCACCCCCACCACCACCATCACCAGCAGCAACCCCAACACCACCACCACATCCACCACCGCCACAAGCAGCACCCCCACCATCGACTCCACCTCCACCACCACAGTCACCGCCGACAACAACAGCACCTCCACAGACTCCACCACCGGCGCCTTCAGAAGCAGCCCCTTCACCACCTTTTTCACCACCAACACCTCCATCACCGCCCACCCAATCTCCATCAGCAGGTCTGTTACTTCCAATATATTCAAATACTTCTTCTAGTCAAACAACTCCGTTTTTCCAAAGATTTCAGTCAGATCGTAAATGAAATGCTACTTGATAATGACTTTTTTCCTTTTATCTTACGATGGGTACTGATCTATACAGCCCCAGCTTAAGACGAGAACTTAATCAGTATCAAATTTTTCACTGTTACGAAGGTAGGCGTTGTCAATTAAGGATACGTTGACATAGTCTTAAACGGTAAACTTATAATGTAACATGCTTTTTAAGTGTTATTTATTTTCCCTGAATAAGCTAGCTTTAGGGATCAATTAATAGATAGTAGTTATTGAGAAAATACGGTTCGGATACTAGCCGCCTAACATAGAAAAGTGACTACAAACCAAATTCCATTTAACCCCATGTCACAAGCACCCGGAAACAGATAGTAAGACGCTAATATAGGAATAGATTCTGATCAGTGAAATTTCATTTAACAGAAAATGCTTCAGTTCACTACCACTACCACTACTACGAAAAACTGGCACCCACGTTTGAACCAGGTAATTTATTTTCTTCATATAGGGTCAGTATTATTTGAACTTAGTCAAAATTTACTCGATAGATACAAACAGCAAACAATGGAGGAAGCCGAACAGCACGGTGGTACATTTTTATTTTTCATGATTCCCCTTGCAAAAATGCAGTTTTCCTATTTCGGGCATGTGCGGAGGCCAAATATTGCTTTCTCGTACATTTCCCACTATTTCTCCGCTGACAGGTCAAGAAGTACTGGTGGGTAGTAATACAAGATTTCCATTGACATTTTCAATCAAATTGATTATATCTGCCGGTATAACTTTGGCCTGATGGATCAAATCGTTCTCATTCAGACGTGAGTCTCTATCTTTTAGTAGAGTAATTTAGGAAAAAACCGTTGACGTCTCAAACGACCCAAGGGACGTGATTTGACACGGGCGGCTGCGGCGTTTATTGAAAAGTGCGTATGGATTGGGTTAGGAATCTAGCACTGGTTAAAAACAAGCGAAAACTGTAAAAAGATTTTTAAAGTGCAATTCACTTACATGTATTTGGGAGTTAAAGAATTATAAATGCTTTTTAAATCAAATATAATTTACTCATATCCTTTTTGCTATTGTGTATTTGTAGCTTGTCCAAGCCGCTGTACTGGGTCCGCAGATTGTCTTCCCACTTGTCCGGTGCGCTGTTGCAGGCAAGATTCGGATGAATACATGGATGATGATTGGGAAGACCCGATGACATTGAAACGAGATAAACTTTTTAATTGAAAGAGAATGTTTGCATTGCAGTTTTTTAACCTCTTAATAGTGAAGAACCGGATACTAAGTTAATTTGGTAATATGTAGCTCCTGCTGGCAATCAGGAATCTCAGTTCCTTCCAGGAATCTGGAACAACAAGCTTTTTCCGATTCTTATTTTCATAGGTTGAAGACGATTGAGTAACGATTCATTGAAAATTAAAATCCATTACAGCTGGGGCAGTTTACTGAGAGTCCTTAACACTTTACTGTTTCCTTGTAACTTGTCCCACAGCCTCCACTCCCGGCCGTTAATTGCGACACTGGTTGCAGAATAATCGCCTTGCGTAACAGATCCTTGAAGACTAGTTAACGCCGTCAGAGTGATCAAATCCTCTTTGTATTCTGCCCTTGTCAAAATTAAATTATGACGTCAATATTACCTTCAGCTACCTTTGCACCAATAGTTAGTTAGTTAGTCTGGTCGAGCGCTAGTTCGGACAACGTGGATTTTCCGATCCTCCACAGCCAACCTCGGACGAGGTTGCTCCCCAGTCATTTTGGTCTAGCATTGCCATTCCGAGTTCTCCGATAATGGCGAACCCAGTGTGCTCAAGCAGGGGCACCAATATGAATATTCCAACCTGTTGACATGAACACTGGATTATTGCCGTGAAAAGCCCACCTCATTTGCTTTGGCCACTCAGTAGCTGTAGCAGTTTTAATAAAGAGCATGCTCTATACGCAGGTAATCTACGAAAGGCGACTTCGTTCTATGCCCCCTCAGCCCTGTGATTCTTTTACCCACTGCACCCTCTGTATCACGTGGCGCAACGTCTTCTCACAGCAATACCGACCTGATGCAGCAGGCGGATGCCCTTCATACAGGAAGACGTACTGATGCAGTGGAAAATTCACATTGTGGATGAGATTTCAGATTTGCCTTTAACATTCTTAACGTACTGTCATACCATTAATTTTTTAAGTTCTATTGTAATTTGTTTGCTTTTAAATCAGTTTTCTTACGCCCAGTACTGCAAACTTGTTGAAAGCCGTTGATAAGAATCTAGTGACCACCAACACATTTTCTTAGTAGATAGTAGTGTCGCGCGCGGTTTTCTATGATTATGAAGACTAAGCTCTCCTTCTCTATTATAGGTCATTAGCCACTTCTTTTACATTCCTGTGCATGCTGTCTGTTTGTTTCATCGCGAAACGACGTTTTCTAATTGTGTGACCATAATTAAACAAGGCCAGGAGCCTATCACCCCAGGCTCCTGATCGACACGCCAAATTAACAATGTTCCTTTATCTTCTTTTTCAACCATTTAGCTAGCTTAGCGAGGAAGGAAAAAATATGAGAGGAATAACTTCGAATTCAATCCACGGAAGATCAGAAAAAAAATGCTCGCGCTATACAATATGGACAGATTCGCGTACTTGCAGCCCGCAACCGTCTTGGACAAAATCCACTTTCGGGTCTCTAAGTATTTGTTTATTGTATCTATGGTAATTAAAGGTGCTATTTGCAAAACGTCTTTTATATTACTAACAAAGGAATTCCGTTGGTGAAAGGCCAATGACCCTATTAATCTTATGCTATCTTTAAAGCACGTAAAACTCGTTTGCTAGAAAGCCGGTAAGTGATTCCGCACTGCAATGATATAACTCCCTATTGCAAAAAATAGAGGCACGTGAATCGAAGATTTTTTTACATCCATTGTGATGATGCACTTTCATTAGGAACTGATTGACAATTTCCTCGTGTTTGCGGAACAGAAACAAAGCGTCTGTTTGCTTGTATCGCCGTCAATGATCTGAGCTACACAAAGGAACTCACTAAGCGTCACAATGTTTAAACAAGTCCGCCACAAGTTGAGTCATTCGCATAAGCAGACTTCAGTAGAGCTCGTAGATCCGCCCAACGGATTCAGCGAAATTCATGCCATGGAAAACAAGGCTGAAGTCCAAACTCCTGAGTAAGTGATTGTTATTTGTGGTTATATAGCTTATACTAAAGGTGAATTTATTTGTCCTCCTGGAAGTAATCAAATATATGCTGTATGCAGGATATTGTGGCGAAATCAGTAATCAATCCTTAAACAGGGTATATAAATTGTCGTCATCACCTAATCTACGATTTCAGACCAGACTGTTTTGTAACGGTTGACAAAGTTTGCGAACTACAGCTGTTTAAATGTAAGCAAGTGTCTATATCTCATGATCAGCAAAAGACTGTTGCAAACGGATTGAAGCTCGTCAGCAAACCGAGCATCTTTTAAAAAAGCGATGCCGTTTACAAATCATAATCGTACCACTTATGCAATTCAAACACGTACAGCCTTGCGAAGGCTACCGCACATCACGGGTCACATGCATTCCCAGTGACAGCCTTGAGGCGCATTCTTTATAAGAGGTCCAATTTTAGTCACCTATTCAGACACTGTTATTACAAGACAGCTTCTACCAGCTTATTTATTACGACACTACGCAACTCAGCTTTCACCGAAGATGGTACGAAGTACGCGAACAGTCTCGGAGTGATAACCTAATTCGGATATATGGGGGTGCAGTGGGAGTTGGGAATGGAGTGTTCCCTCATTTTAGGATACGTATAATCCGCACTAGACATTCTCAACACTTTGTCGCAAACTCTGACCCTGTTGAAGAGGACAAAAAGTTTTAACTTTTCTCCCTTCTTTTAAAGTCACGACAATGAAAAAGAGCACCATATGCACATAAAGGACTCGATTGACGCAAAATTGTGTGAACAAGTGTTTTCTTAATGGAGTGATTCAAAAATGCCGGAACTCGTAGTTGAATAGTTTTGTTAATTCAAGTTTCGTTCTCAGAGATTTCTACTTTAGGTTTTCGAAAGGGATACGTTGTTTTAGGACTGAGCACGTCAAAAAGTATATACACTATCAGGCTTTACGGTACCCTTATATAATCGAAAGAGGCCAACTCGGGAATTTACTCCCTATATAATGGCCTATAATAGGAAACTCCGCCAGAAAGGTGTACCTATTTCAAGCTTCAGGTATAAGAGAGGGTACGAGGCTTTCACTAGTTGAGGTATGAGAAAGGGTAGGGAAATCTTTCATTGCGTTCCGATCTGTGAAAGGACCTAACAGCTAAAAGGGGCATTTAAATGGCTGTGGAAAAGACAAGAAAACTTTCTGTCTGGTGATTTATATTCATATTTGTGTAGTGTTCTACACTAGTATGTGAAAGGGGTACCACATTTGTCAATAACTGAGGTATACGAATGGGCTGCCTTTACTGTTAAAAATGGTATATAAAAAGGTATGCGGTTGACCCTCGGTGCGGAGCCTCTCGTGTACAACATTGTTGATTACCGCCGCCACCCCCCGCGCCCCCACACACCCCGGAGGACGCCAAGAATGTATCGCTTGTTACTAGTTCTAGTAACTGATTTTGGCCGGATGAAATAAACTCAAACCTGGCTCAACGCGCATCAATACAGACGGCGAAGAGAGAGTGTAAACATACTTTAAGACACTACAGTCAAATGAACACCTTGTGTCAAGCACTGAAAACTCGTTAGTGAACAACAACGAGTCTATAGCTTTTCAGGTGTTTGTCAAGAAGAGAAGCACCAAATGGCTGATCCTTTTCTTGCCTTTTTCTAACAGAAATCTTTTGAAGTCGCTCCTTACTTTAGTAAGCTTAACATTTTCTTTGGAAGACAGTATGACCGAGGGGTACGGTGTGGGTGGAGCATCCCCGCACAGACATGTACTGCACAGCGGTAGCTGACATGCGAGCAAAATACATTTCACGATGCATTTTATGCTAGCATGTTTGCTTTTATTTAATTTTTTCAAGTTAAGATGACCACGATACCGTGGGTACCGATATCTCGATACCCCTTTCCCCCCTTCCGCGGGTAAGTTGAAAAGAAGTTGGTCGAGAACAGGTTATGGGCTCCTGTCGGAAATCGAAATCATGAACTAGCTGTGAAAAATTCTCATTTTCCTGTTTACAGATCGCCAGTAAAATTCGGACATAATTTTCAAATTGCGACGTCACGGTTTTTATTATCACATTATAAGATCATTCTTGTTTATTAAATAACTTAACGGCTGGTTAACCGCATGCACCGACGAATTGTTACGTAACCAGATTTAGCCTGTTCCAGGCGTTCAGATAGTGGGGAGCGGTGCAAAGTAAAAAGGAGCTCGAAAAAGTAAAAGCGACCCCCTCTACTTTTCATCGCTTTCTTTACTCCGCACCGCTCTCCACTATCTGAACGCTTGGAACAGGCTAAACCAGATTTAAAGATAGAAGATTTCAACGGGGTGTAAATACCCGGAAAACCATCCCAAATAACATATATATCAATCTACTGCTGAAATGCTTCTCATTTGGATACTCTAACATTAATTAACGGGGCTCTTTACGTACATAAATCTCGAAACTTTGTAGCACGAAAATAATGAAATTGAATGATATTTCAGTTACAGCTGATCGTGCAGTAAAAACCCGAATAAAGGACCCTAGAATTTTCGAGGTCATGCTGATTAGGTTCTTAATAGGTTCTTATTTTTCAGAGGTTGTCGTAATGTCATAGTTTGGCACTTGTATTTTCAACAATGCTTGCATACAGAAAAAAAACATTTTGGGCTATGTTCGTAAATTATGCACTGTAGCTTTATGGAAAGCATATTTCTAGGGAAAATCCAAGCAAATGAATAAATTCAAGTAAAACATATGATATACACAGTAACTTTTTGTTAGAAGTTTCGTTCTCACACAGTTACTCCAATTAAAATCCAGAAATTTGAGTGATTTTTTGTACATTAGAAGCTATTTTTCTTTGCCAGGCTGAACAGGTTCTTATATTCTTGGGTATTCAGATGTCAAATTTCAGCCTGTAGATTCTTAAATCATTAGGTTCTTATATGTTGGTTTTTACTGTACTAGTACTACTAAGGGGCACCCAACGGCAATTTTCGGGAAAATATCTGTTCGGAAGACGATTTGAGAACTAGAATTTTCGGAACATTTGCTGTAAAATTTCTTGCTTACGGGCCTCTCCTAGGATTTTCTAAGATCTACAAAATGGTATAATTACCCATTTTAAACTGATATTTACCCTAAAAAAGGCCACCTAGAATTTTTGGGAGCCTTTTCCTGGCTGAAATTTTCGAAAACGTAAGTTTTGATCCCTATAATTTTTGGATCACTAGACTTTCAGCTAGGAAATCCGAACAGATGAAAAGTTTTTAGGGGATAAAAATATGCCTATATCTACCGTTTAAATGCTAAAATACATTCAACAATGCTATCTTTAAGTGGTTTTGAACTGTGTACTCGTTGGGTGCCCCTGACCACTGAAAAGACGATTATATTTTTGCATCGGTCGCTTCATGTACGTATGAGGAAATCTAATCCAATCGGCCAGGTTACCAAGACTGTCCCTCAGCCAAGTGAAGTGTGAAACACAAACGATCGATGTGCAGTCTTGAGTAAACTCCTCAGTCGCATATTTATTCAGTAGAAATAGCATCCTTGTTCATGGGGTAAAACTTTTTGACTTTCTGGATGCGATTTTAATCGTAATGAGACCATTTTTTGATTTGTAATTAATGTATTTCTCTGCAGGGAACAGCCGGTTTTCTCGACCCGGGCTCACGTCTTCCAGATCGACCCTGCTACGAAGAAAAGCTGGCTTCCTTGCTCAAAGCAAGCTGTCACCGTGTCTTTTTATTATGACCCGAACAAGGAGACACATCGCATAATATCGGTTGATGGCTCAAAGGTAAGAAAGACTCTTTTTTAAAATTTATAGCACGCACATTCAAGCTGTATACGTAGCTGACGTTTCTTGATAATATTTATATCCGCTTCGTAGTTGATTTCAACACATAAGCTTGATCAAGTTCAAGCTTTTATGCTAATCCTAGGATGTTTATCTTGTCTGCTTTGTTCTTATTAGGCCTAAATCTACGGAGAAACAGTGCTACAGATTGCTAATTAACGAAATAATAACGAAAGGAAGTTTCTGTTTATATCGGGTTATTCTTTCCTGTCAGAGAGCTTATACGAAGCAACATAACAGAGTCGCGGCTTCCAGCAAATTTTACAACCATCAGTTTTGATAAAGCTGTTTTGTTTTGAATTAAAAAACACGGGCATTGAACCTAACGCTGGTTTTAGTCCAATTGCAGGTAAAGTCTCGTCTATATTAACCTTTATATCGGAGCAATAGTATAAGCTTACGAAGCTATAGATATATTTAGCGCATTCCCACAGTCGAGTGATATTGACAACGAGCGAAATGTACAATTGTTGTGCACGTTTTTTCCACACTGCTTTCGGCAGATAAAACCTATCTGGCCGGCTGAAAATGTGCTTTGTTGTTAAAATTTAAAATGGCGATAATTGCTAACCGTGAAATTATTAATAAATAAGTGTTCGTCGAAGCGTTAGGCAAATTTAAAATTTATCATCCCATACAAGATTATCAAGATTATTGTTCTCAGATCCAGTCCAAAAAGACTTAAAGTGTCATTTCTGTTAACGATTTAGTTAACGATTTAGTTTCAACTCTTTCAGCTCAATTTATATTTCAACAAATAATTTTGAGAGTTAAATATAGATGAATATTTTGCCACATTCCCTGGCCAGCAATATCTTAAATTATCAACAACATTGTTCTTCCTTTTATGAGGGTGCAATGAATTTAACTGGGGCTACTAACACTTGAAATTTAAAGAGCTGTTCTCATTTTTGATGGTCTAAGATACTATTCCAAAGTCATGCAGACACTTGTATGTGATCCTGACATGTGATTGGCTGTTTAGGCACTTAGGGCACCCCTGGTTGAGTTCCCTGTACTCTAACACATACCCTCAACAAACAAAACAAACATTTAAGCAAATATGACTATTTGCTGTTTCTGACTTTTGTTGTGTTAAATTTATTCTCAAGTAGAAAAGTTTCTCTTTGATTGGTGTAAGATGTGCTTTGTAAAATATTTATGATACTTGGAGGAGCTCATAACCCTTGTCCTCTTAACAGGAAATGCTGTGTTTATTAAACTTCTGCTACCTAAGGGCTTTGAATAGATACTTAATTTTTGTGTAAAAAAAACCCATACTGGCCACAGGTGTCCTACTTATTAGAGACAAAAAACAGGAATAAACAATACTAACTCCAGCAGTCTACCTTTGTGCTGGTAACAGAAAAATGTGTGGTCTTCCGTATTTAAAAACTACACAGCTAGTAAGCTTCAATGAACTTTTTTCGACAGGCCATTGTTAATAGCACGATACTACCAAACATGACATTTACCAAGACATCCCAGAAGTTTGGTCAGTGGTCAGATGCACGAGCTAACACTGTCTTCGGCTTAGGATTTCCCTCTGAAGTTGAATTAAACAAGGTTTGTAAAGAATGCTGACATTTTAAATTAAATTTGTTCTACACTTTTAGTAGGGACAGGTACTCAATTTAAATATAACATTTCTGTCACTATCTTGTGAGGGTGAGTCGATGGTTAAACACAGACACTTAGTCGACACAATAAAACAGAGAAATATTTACTCAACTGTTCTCAATGCAAAAAACTGAAAAATACATGTGTTCATTCCTCATTGTCACATGCTCATTGAACTGTCAATCAAGATTGCACCCAAAACCGAAGGCAGAGGCACAATCTTGTGTCACTCTATATGTTGTGGTTCAGTTCTATGCTATTTTTCTTTTGCTTTTAACTCCTTAACATAATCTTTAACATGTAAGACTTGTAATAAACAAAGATTGCTCAGTGTGATCCCAGACTGTTTCTCCTTTGGCAAGTTGCTGATGATGCCGTTGACCCCTGCAGAATAAAAAGGGATGCCAGATATGTGCCCCAAGATTCGACATCAGTTATCCCATACAATCTCCCTCCACTATGTACAAAGATTGTTACAGTAGATTTAGTGCAATGATAAAAAAATTGAAACAGTCAGACAGTATGTAAGTTATGTACAGTTGGCTTATGACAAAAAGGTACCCTTGAAATGTGTCTTATGATGACATGATGACATGGTCGGTAGCCTTTAAATATTTTTTATTCACACGTGGAACCTCTTTCTCTTGCACGATGTTACACCTTTCTCTTGCTACTGGAATTTATAATGAAAACCCTGAGCATATGCATGGTAGCTAGGCTATTGATTGATTCATTGACTTGACTTAGTTGAGTGTAGTGAAACCCAGTGTGATTTCTATTGTGTAAGATCTATTTCACATATGGCCTGTATTCAGTTTGCAGACAAATTCAAGGAAGCCAAAGGCTCTATCAGGGCGACTGGAAGTACAGGCAGTACAACATCCTCTTCATCAGCTACTGGTGTGACTGTTAACGGCACATCAAGTGGAGTGGTGAATGGAACGGCAGAGTCACCTCAGGGCACACCTAATGCTGCACATAAAACAGCTTCCGTAAGAAGTAACTCATCTGCAAGTAGTGGGGAGGTAAGCACTATAGCTGGTCATAATGGGCCGTTTCCTGGTTGCCCCAAACCTCTATTTAAGCGAGTCTAAGTGCAAAGCCACTGATATGAAAATGATTTTTTTTTTTCATGGAAATAATCTCTTTTTAACATTAAGGTTTTTGCCCTTAGTCTCATTTTAAAAGTGAGAGGTTAATAAATTGGAACCCAGAAGTGGCATGCAAATGCAGGAGTGCTAACATTGGCTATTATAAATTAGTAAAATCCAACTAGTGGTCTATTATCAAAGCTGCATTCTGATTGGTTGAGCTACTACTAGGCTATATGTTATAGCCCCCCAGTAGCGAAAAGCGCTGGCTTTTTGGCGGCAAAAAAGGATTAAAGTCTAGCTTTAACTAGCTAAAAATTTTTTATTCTCGATATTTTTGACCACCTAGTTGGTTTTACTGAAACAATAATATTCCTCTCGCCCTCATGGCCTCTGAGTCAATAGCACATGAGACCGAAGTATAGTTTAGTCCCTGTGTTTGTTGAGTTCAGGAACCTAATTTTCTATTTCTTAAGAATTAATCTTTAAGGGTTACCTATTCCTATTTCTGCAAAAACTTGTGATTGGATTGCATGATATTTAATATGCTGGATCTTAAGGTTTCCTCATTTGTCCAAAAATTTATTCTTAACAACCAAATTAGACACCTGAGTTCATCTAAGCCACTTCCAATGGAGGTATCAACAAAACTGCTGTTACTAAAACAGTATTTAATATTGTTAGTGCTTAGCCAAGCAACAAGCCTGTAAACTTATTTAATTGATCATTTAAAGTTTTTATTTATGACATATGTAGTACTATTTTGTGTAAATACTCTCAGCATTGTTTATTGCTTATATTTATAGTTTGTTTGTATAAATAACCTATTTCACTTTTTCTGGGTATGAGTTGTGTTTGGTTGATAAAATAAATATTGTTATTAATTTCTAACTTTAAATCTGAGGACAAAATTCCTTAAGTTTCATGCCTTCATGTTGTCCTGTTTGTCTTATCTTTTATTTGTATGGTGAAATCTTGAAATTTTTTGAATAACAAAAGACGTTTTTTCTTATTTTAGCCACCCCCAAAATAAAAGAACTACATTTACATAGCTGCAGGCTTGATCAGCTATTTTGGTATTATTTTTAACAGATAACTGATTATATTTATGTTGTTGAAACAATAGCTTTGACACAAATTTATTGCTTTATGACATTTTTTTGACCACAATAGTTAATTTAACATGCAAATTTCTTTGCCTCAACTTACTGCACTTTGATATTTCATTCAGTATACACATTTTACATTTTGTGTTATCAATATTGGCCTCCTTCATCTACCTTGTTTACAAATGGAACATTTAGGCAGAAGAATATCTCTACCAGCTTCATTCAAAATGACAGCTCCTTTCATGGTATAAGCAAGTTTAAAATTTTAATGACTTATTGACTTGACTTATTGTATTTTACCACTTTTCTTATTTAAATAATGAGTCACTCTGTTTCCTGTATAATTTCAAGTTAATGATAATACAGCAGAACCTCAATAACTCGAACTCGGGTAACTCGAATTCCCCGCTAACTGGAATTAAACTTCCTTTCCCTTGAGCAAGATTTCCCTGAAATTTACCCCAATAACTTGCATTCCTCGCTATAAACTCAAGCTGTTTTTCCTTTCCCTTCAGAGTTCGAGTTACTGGGGTTCTACTGTATGTGTTTATGTTGTAGGTAAAATCCATTCGTTGGTGAGGTTAAACCTGTATTCAACCTGTTAAGGTTGACTTCCAACTTGCAGGTTTCTAACCTTAGAAATCTTCCCTGAATGCTGGTTTAACCTGAAAAGGCCTTCTCCCACAACATGGGTTTTCTTTACTTTTAATTATGGGAGAGAATATTATTTTCATTATTTTCAAATTCTTATTATTTTTTACCAGTGCGTAATCTCTTGTTTAAAGTTTTGTCAACATGAATTTAGCTGGCTTAGTTGATAACAACATCGACGACAACAACAACAACAGATAATTGACCTCTTGAGCTAATGTATAATTTTGTTTTCCCAATGTTGGTCATTTGACGTCTCCAAGGGAATTTATTCTTTGTCTTCTCATGAATTATACATACATATGCATGTGAGTAAGAGGAAGTTTTAAAGAAATAGCTCTCTTGAGTAACCTTTATGACCTACATTGGGAAAACAAGACATACAAGAAGGAAACTGTGGTCAACTCAATTTTATAACTGTTCAATATTTAAATCTCTAGGATGAAACAAGAGAGACAACTGGAATCAGCCATAAAGTAGTTGGAAACACAGAATCGCACCTGAAATACGAAAATGATAGACTCAAGATGGCGTTAGCTCAAAGGTATATGAAAATTTAAAAACTTTGAATCTCAAATTTCTTTAAAAATTAAAACATCTTGGGTTTAGGCCAGTGCAAGTTTATTTTTGTGCTGTGATTGGTCTTTGCACCTAATTGTTACTAAATTTTGCTCACTTTTAATTTTGCAAAATTCTGCTTCAAAAGCTGATGATCTCCCCTAACTCTGATTTGTTATTATTTTTTACTTGATGGTAGGCTCTCTTACCATTCCAATTATGACTCCGACTCTGACTCTGTTGTTGGTTAAAACAAGCCTTTAGCCCATTTTCACCATTCCCCCCTCCCCACCCCCTTGAATGATGAATGTCTCTCATTTTAAATTTTCAAGAAAGCTTTTCTTCCTTGTCTTTGATTTTTGAAAAGTATGTCATGCAAAATTAGCCTTGATAAGGTATTAATTTTGTCTTGTCTTTTTGACAGCTCTGCTAATGCTAAAAAGTGGGAGACAGAACTGCAGACACTGAAAAATAATAATGCCAGACTAACAGCTGCATTGCAGGAGAGCACAACAAATGTGGAGGAGTGGAAAAAACAACTGAATGCCTACAAGGAAGAGAACATTAAACTTAGAAAAAAGGTGCATGCTTGCAGAAAAAATACTTTAATTTGATAATGTTTGTAATAATTGATTTTTATTACTGGCATGTTTATTTATTTATCTGTTATTCATTGTTTTGTAGCATTTTAGTGAATGTATTTTTGTTGCAAAATGCACTGAGAGAAAATGTACATTTCTTACTCACCTCACTTCTCTTCACTTCACTTTAAAGTCAATTCTAACCAATGAAAAATCACACATTGCAGTAACACAGAAATGATATTTAATCCCTGTCGTAATTAACCTCATTATACTTTTTGTTTTAGGTCCAAGAAATAGAATCATCAGACCAAGTATCAGATACATTAAATTCGCTTCAGCAAGAGAAGCTCACCCTGGATGGACGAGTGATTCAGCTTGAGAGCATGATAAGACAGAAAGATGAGGTCAGCTGGAAATTCAAGTTAATGTTTGTTTGGAGTTTATATTGTTTTTAAGGAATTCAAAATATTAAACAATGTTCACCTGGGCTGGAGCCAGGGCGGGGTGTCTTTGCTTTTAAAAAGACTTTGAAACAGGGGTTTGACTTATAAACTCCACTGCTAAAGTCTTTATCTCTCATAGTTGTTAACAAGTCAACGATTATGGTACAATGTTGTCGTTAATTTTTTTATATCAGGTAATTTTTATTTTTCCATTGTTTTTGGGTATGGTAATGTCTGCTAATGGTTTGAAACAAAGGAAAGACAAAAATTACCTAAAATAAAGAATTAACTACAACATACAGCTTTATAAAATCATCACATCCAACCAAACCAGTAATAATGTTATTTTTGGATGGGATGGCACATCACCATTAGCAAAGGGTGTTGTTATTAAATCTCATTTTCCTCTGGTCTTGTCTTTGTCTTTTCAGTCTTTTCTGTGTGACTGCACTATTTATAACAAGGGCTAAAAAGCCATATATAGAGATCTCAGGGAATATTGGCATTTTCCTGTGTACCCTCAATCTTCAACATCACTGTCAAAACCTTCCTATTCTATTACAGCCACCTTTGCACCTGAAACCCTTAACTACAGACATAATATCAACACACGGGATGGTATTTTTTCCTAATTCTAGCTTGTTTTCTTTTAAGGACAATACCAATTTAAGACAAGCAAATGCTGAACTTACAAATCAGAATCAGGTTGGTGGTAAACTGTTATCCCAAGTACTTAGTGTTAAGGTAAAGGGGCACAAGGCCCAAATGCCCAAACAACCAGAGCTTATCCTGGTTTCCTTAGCATGAAGCAAAATTGCCTTGTAAAAGTATTGCTAGTCTCCCCTGGCCGCATGCTAGTACATTGCAGGGTCAGACAATACCCCAGAATGTTGCCCGTACCCATTTATAGACTTGGGTGAAGAGAGGGAAAGTAGAGTGAAGTTCCTTGTCTAAGAAAATGACGAGGCAGGCGAGGCTTGAACCCCGGACCACCAGATCCAGGTGTTTTAAAACCGCTCCGCCACACGTGCCTCCACAGTGGTCAGTGTGCTGTGGTTTATATAGTTTTACATGTTTTTACAGCTTTACGCATCATTTACATCCTATTCCAAATTTCAATTTGCAAGGTCTGAAATAGCAAATGATACCATGTGACAGTACTACAAAAGAAGTTTACTTGAATGAAAACACCTCATTCATACTCGCCAACCAGCAATGAACCCTGGTGAGGGCTATCACCTTAAATTTATGACACAATTTTGCAGTCTCATCAAAATGAGGCTGCAAATTACAGCAAATGTCACTGATGAAGGGATCTTGATGGGTTCTGGAAGCTCTGTGTAACTTTCACGAATTTGTTGCTGTTGGAGAATTTCTCTTTGCAGCACCACGGGATAAGCATAATGTAATATTTCATCTTCAGACTGAAAAGTTGCAGTCATTTATTATAGCAAATCTCCTCACCAGTCATTTTCATTCGTACTAGGAATGAAAGGGGGTAATGCCTATTAATTTTATTATGTATGCAGGGAGTTGTGTTTAAAATGTCTGGTTGAAGTTAACAGCAGCATTGTTTTTTAGACACTGCAAGTGGAAAATGATAGAATGCATTTAAAAACGGAGGAGCTGATGTCTCAGTTGAACAAGAATGCTTTGGATGAATCTCGTGTGAATGAGCTCACTGAACTCCAACAACAACTGGCTGGGAAGATTGACGAGCTTAATTCTCTCAGCGCAAGGTTAGCAGCAACCTTGCAAGGGGAGCCGCCTGAATTGGATAATAGCTGAATTGAAATTTGAAACATTCCATCTTTGATTTGAAACTCCTGCCAGCAGCTTCAGGACAGAAAATTAATTTATTCAAATGACCGCATCGTATAGACATCAGAGATTATCAAGTAGAATTGTTTAACCAGACATGAACTTTAATTGTTTATTGTGCCATTTATGGTAATTGGAATGGAGTTGACACAAAATAGTTGCACTAGGTGTACTGAAATGTACTTTAGAAATGAAGTCTTAAGTCCTAATTTAGTTCATGTTAGAAGTTCATCATTCCAGCAGGCAAGATTTTTTTAATCATAAAAAAAGGGAAAAGCCAGCAGACAGTCTGACTATTTTTTAATACATATTTCAATTTCTTTTAAAACAGCATCTTGTCTCTTGACTGACAGAATTGCAGTTTTTTTTTCAGTGAAAGATAGAATATCCTGTTCAATAAACTGCAAACTCGATAAGCCAATGCCTTTAACTTTTTTGTCAATTGTTATTGAAATATGTTGAAACAAAAAAAAATGAGATTGTCTGAATAAGATTTAAGGATTGTTTGCCTTTTAGAAGCCCATAAAAGCGGTCTTAGTGGTCTTATCCTGCTGGGGCCAGTTGTTCGAAGGCCAATTAGCGCTAACCTGGGTTTAAATTTTTACCCGGGTTTCTGTTTCCTTAGTTCAAAAGCATTTTCTTGTATAATGTTCTTTACAGTTTTTTAGAGTATCCAATTTTTAAATTGAAGACAAAAAGAATTGAACTCAATTTGCTCTTTATGCTTCCATATCTGCATTTTTAAATTTTGCACTAACCTTGGGTTATCTTAACCCAGCTTTGAACTAACCTGGCCCTGGAAAACAATAATGTAAAATGTAGTTGCTAATAAATTGTGTATGTAGTTAATGAAAAATTCCTTTCAATCTTTTGTCAAATAATAAGTAAAAATTTGAAAAGCAAAGATTTTGTTTAAGTGCTGTTATCGTTATTTTTTTTTTCTACTCATTTTACAAAATGAAACTTCTTATGATTCAGAGATTTTTTGTTACTTGGTTTATCTATTAGAAGGTCAGAATAAAACATGTTTTAGACATGTTAGTTGTACCAATACTACAATATAATACAAAGTGTGAAATTGCAAATGTTTGCATAGTTTTATAAAGAGTGATTTTCATTGGCCAGATTTACTAATAAAAATTGTATATTAGAACAGTATAAATTATTTGTGGAATGTTCGATACTTTGTAGATATATACGTGCTATGTAACCCACTAACCTTAATATATTAACATAACCGTAATAATTGATAAAAGTGTGGATGTAACGAAGCAAATTTGTAGTCAACAAGAGAATGAATAAAACCCCTTTAGCGTACCAAGGGGTTCTTGGTATGTAAACAGAAGACATCAAGCAGAATGTAATAAAATAAACATTATTTTATTTTGTTTATCTTTCTCATTTTAGTTGCCTTTTTTATCAAGTAACGTAGTGTCTTGTGAGAGCTCATTATTTAAATTTTACTTTTCTATTGTATAATACTTACCTTTTGCTTGTTGGTCCCCGATATGTTTTACAGTGTAAGTATACAATTATTACCGTCATATAGTGACCCAGAAAGGTGCTGAAGATGCTTTCGGGACCAAGAAGACAAGATTGTTTTATTTTTTCCTCAATTCGTCCTTTTTTCTTGTCTTGATCCTCTTGTTATTTTTCTAGTAATTTTATCAGAAGGTAGAAACAAATTCTTTCAAGGTGTCTACTCCACTATTTTGTCTCGGCTTAGTAAGAACTTGTACACAGTAGAGCGACTACAGACGCTAAGGTAAAAGGCAGAGCTGTCGTTTCTTCAATTCAAAATTTTTGTTTTGCATTATTTTGCATTATTTATGTCAGTGGTGGTACCGCTAGGCTGAATTTTGAGAGTAAACTCCCCAAATCCCCCTATCCTAGAGTAGCTGTATACCGATAAAATTTTCAACCATCTGATCAGTTTCCCGAAAAATGATACCCTATTCTAGAGCCAAACAGGCCTGATTTATAGATGTAAACCTTGAAAACCATACCCTTCACAGCGCTCCATTCCCATGATGCCAGTAGTTTGCAGGCTCTGCCTCAGGCCAGGTAGATGTAACCATACTTCGCTCCATTTTCCTGAAGATGAGGTGTCTAACTTATCGTCGTCTTTTTATGTATCATCGTGTTTTTAAATGCGCTGTGAGCTGTCCTTTATGTGTCCTCAACCAAACTTCAAGCCCGTTTCCATTTATAAACCCAGTTTGACGCAAAAGGTAACCTTCTTTTATCGAAAATGGTCTGCCTTTCACATGCTTTGGCTGGTCACTGATCAATTAGAATATACGACAATTGAGCGAAGGGAAAATAACAGTTAAAGTTAGCTGAAACAAGTGACAAAACTTGGACCAAATCCTGAGGAACTAGCTTTTTGTTCAAGTTCGGTGTCACAAAGTGGGGTTCAACCGTTTGGCTCGGGGCGGGGGGGGGGGCTACTCCTGGAAATTCTTGGTTAAAACGATCAGGATCAGTGATCCGAGATCCGAGATTATTCGAATTTTTATGCATCAAAGATGCCGATGAATCCTTGTCCAGATGGGACTTAGTAGCCTCCCTGTTCAACACAAACGTTTTTAGGACTTCGTCACGTGTTCCTTCGTGGATCACTCCAAAGTAACGTACCGTTCGTGGACCTTTGTGACATGCAGGCAGTGACACACTAGTTAACGGGGAACCCAACGACCTGTTTCTGTAAAATAGCTGTTCGAAGGAGCAAGATGTGAATGAAGACAAAACGTTACCTAGGATCTTCTAATGAAAGTACGACTGCTCCTGATGTCCTCTAACATTCGACCAATACCCATCAGGGTAACTTACAGTTTCAGATGAGACAAAAAAACAACTTAAATCTCTCGAGACGACCAAAGTTCCCCAAGACATCCGAACAGATAAATAGTTTCATTTAATGCAACTCCATTTTAACCAAACAAGCTTCCAACGGCATAGAGAAAATCATTTGAGACACTTCTGACGCGATTTGGAAACATTGGTCGTTTATTCATGACCCAGCATCGATGTTAACCCTTTTCCCGTTAGCCACTTATTAGGAGAAAAAAACCGCAGTTTTGACCAAATCTTCGTTTTTCAACCGTTTTTCGGCCAGTTAACATGGGAATAGCCCATGTTGATTGGATGTTATCAAGCGGCTCCCTCCCCCCCCCCCCCCCCCCCCAAAAAAATTGGACTTTTCTTTTCTTTTTTTTTGGACGAATCTATATCGATCTTTTTCCTTGCTCTCTAGTTTTCCCTTTGCCTTCCTTGTTATAGCAGCCAGTTTTGTTGCCCACTATATCGTCCTTCCTTCGCATGGAATTTTGACTGGCTTTCTTTCCACGAAAGGGACAAATTCAATCTCCAGTTTTTCCCAAAATGTTATTTTTTGTGAGTAACTCTGTCGGGATTGTTCAAAATTTGCTAAATGAGGTACCAGTGGAAGGATCTAACCTCGCTGATTTTGCTAATTACCATTCTTAATAGCTTAGATGGTAAGCCAAATGGCTCCAGGAAAGATAACATGCATGGGTGCATATGGACCAAAAACGACTAAAGCAGACGTCAAACAGTTAATGTATCCTGTTTAGAAAAGACGCCCAACCGGTGCGTCCTATACTACTAACAACATAAGCAGTTAGAAACGCCCCCAGAGACTTCTAGTGATAAGAGGTTAACAGCTTCGTAGACTAACTGTAAGTAACTTGACAACTCATTAAAACCACTGATGTCATAAAACGCTGGTGTCAAAAGATTTGTTTATTGAAATCATTTTAATATCTACTTTTTTCACGTCTTAAATATAAAATGAAATCACCTTCCATATTTATACTCTTGATACGAAGAAGGTCACACAGGCTTGCAAAAAGTATTCCAAAGTATATTAGACCTACATAACATTAGCTAACTTTAACAAAAGTGTTCTGTGTTTGAGCTGGCCCTTGTTGATGTGATTACATACACCTCTCACATGATTGGTTCACAGTTTCGTATGGGTGGAATACCCGAATAATAACAGCCAAAATAGAGAAAATTCTCCCAGATGTACTTTAACATACCCAAAAGTGGAAGAAGTGAAGTACATATTCACCGTGTAATTAAAATGATTAGTTATGATATCCAGGCCCATTCTGAATACTTGATTAGGTGTAATACATTTATGATAGCTAGCTAGCCGGTCAGATAATCTTTTTATTCATTTGACAAAAGGGTCACTCAGCTGGTTTCAAACAATACTTCCTTGATATTTTTTCACAGGTAAAAACCTTTGGAGTAATTATTGCAAGCCTCATCAGTACCACAGCGATTGAGTGATGTTTCGTTCATAATTTACCAATGTAATACTAAAAAAAACCTTCACTGCCGTACCAAATTAGTGTCAACGTGTCAGAATTGGAATTATTTCCCATAAAATTCCAATTCTTTCCTCGGAGAGGTGAAAAGGGAATTTGGATGCCCAAAAAATTGGATATGAAAACTACAAATTCCGTCATTGTTAACTACTTTTAATGACATCATTTAGTTTCCGCTTTTGTCAGGAACCTATGCCCTTTTGTCATGGAACTATGGTCAATAAACGATGCAAAATCCACAATGGTTTGTCCACTTAAATTTTCTCTCTCTAGGAAAAGAATTGGACTACAGTCAAACCTGTGTGGTGACCGTTATAGACAGGGTGACCGCTATAAACAGGTTAACTTTGCAGAAAATATAAGGCAACTGAAAATTTTGGGAAGTTGCCCAGCTAGTGATCGTAAAAAACAGAGTCACCGCTACATACAGGGCCGTAAAATAGAGGTTGGACTGTATTGACTTTCTTTTAGACATTTTAAGGTCTCTTTGTAACAGCAGTGGAAGTTCTCTTTACTACTGATATACAACATGGCCCTTTATTCAGTAGCAAAACATAATACGGCAGGCTTCACTATCTGGTTGTGTCATTGATGGCAGCATGACAGAACCTTAATCCAACTGTACCGTGAAACGGTTTAAATTTGTTCTTCTACTTCTTATGCAGCTTTTCGGAAATTTTCGCTGTGTGAGACTTGTAAATAAGAACGTTAAAGTGAAAACCTTGAACATCGATGTTGCGCTACTAAAATGAAGGCCAAATATGAACACAAAACAGTTGATCATTTTCAAAAGTTTCCGAGGTTTTGCAACCTGATAATTAAATAAATAGTCTGATTGTATCTCTATAAAACATGGTGTTCTTACTCTTAATTATTATAAAGTACACTATACTACAACTCACCAAAATTATTCCAAAACATGTGACCTATATGATCAATAAATAGTACATAATTTATTTATTTATCTTACACCCTCCTCTTTGAGAATTAATAGAACCTGTATTAAGATAACTCTCTTTGTGAGAAGTATGAAATGTGATCCTTTTATTTTGTGGAAGACTATCAGTTTTAAGGCTGATGACATGAGAAGTTCAGAAAAATCCAAACGACAACAAAAGATGATTGCCCAAAATAAATGTTAGAAAATTATAACTGATATAATAGCCTCCCCCGCAGACATTCTTAAGCGTGCGTCACGCGTTCCTGTGGAAGGAACGCGTGACGCACGCCTAAGAATGTCTGCGGGGTTCAAGGCTACTGATATAAATGATTATTCCATGTTACTTAGTAACATCATTACTCTTACAGAGCAACAAACACGATGCATGGCTATGAAATGTGAATTTCTATTAAGAACAAGTTAACCCACATTTTCTATTAAGTGACAGGTTCTTTGAGGAGACTTTAATAATATATATAAAAACCAAGTATACGTATAAAACTTGTAAAATGTGCGACTGGGTTCTTTGTGTCAAAAGTTCACGTATGAAATAATCTTCATCAAAGATTAACATCGCTGGTGTAAATTATAACAAATAAATAAGTAGTCCAAACTAGTTTCAGGGTGATATTGAGCCTTTTGGAATTTAAATAATAATATTGAAAATAATAACTGTACAACAAAATCTACATTTTGAGGAAAATCGGGTCCTGTGGATTGCAGTTTGCTTAGCCTTTGAGTTGTTTTTTCATATTAAAATGCAGGAAAATTTTGTGTCATCAACACTAATGAATAGACACTAATGGTAGTATTTGACATTTTTCACCTGGAAAAACTCAGTTCACCTTTCAAGGATTCTATCCTCTGTAGAAAATAAATATCATTCTCAAATTACTTTAAAGTGAAGTGCATCTTGGTCTTTAGGTTATCCATGCCAGTAATCTGCGATCAGGTGGTAATCCTTCCCCTCTTCATTCGGAGGCAAGAGGAGTTCTTTTTTTCCTTTTGCCTGTCACTCTACCACCCCCCCGCCCCCACCCCCAAAGAACGCCTGATTGCAGGTTACCATGACAGCTACTTGAGGTAAGTATGTTGAATATTTTTTTTGTGAATTTTCTTCTGTACATGTAAAATTATAATCTGCAAAAAAAGTAAAACTAACAATCAGAAAGAAATTGAATTCATTAGAAGAGCAGGGCAGGGTCATGGTATAAAGATGTCTATAAATTGTCAATGGGAGTTCAACTTATTGAACAGTAATCCAGTGTTAACCACAAGGAAGATATATGCATTGTCATGGTAACTAACCAGGAATTTTTACTTATCATCTTTATGTTGAGAAAATATTTCTCAAGAACATTCCTAAACTCTGATACCTTCATTCTGGAGTAAGATTTTGTGGAACACTGTGGTAGTTTAATGCCAACCCAATAGTGATTACTTTGTAGTTCTATCATTCACACTTGAGATACCATCTCACAGACTGCAGAATACATCTCTTCACACCTACTTTCTTTGTACAGTCAACTCTCTCAATGGACCACTCTATACGACAGACACCTCCCTCAAATGGCCACCTAGAGATGGTCACTGCATTATAAAGTCATTTTCTTTGACCCTATAAAAGGCAAATGACACTTACCTTGACAGACACTGAGTGCCTGACCCAACAGTGTCCATCTTAGATGAAACTGGCAGATCAGTATAGGATTCTGAGAATAGCCCACCTACCCCTCCCCTAAAACAATGTCAACAGCAACATCTCACTTAGGGGAAAATGTTGGTTTAGGGGAGGGGTAGGTGCATTCACCTCTTTCACCAATATCCAACCTTAAATTAATAGTGATTTATTCTGCATATATATCTATGTTGCCACAAGTTTGGTAACAAAATATGGTTCAGATTGATTTGTTCAGGCTACAAGAGATACAACTAATGCACAACTCAGATAAATTCACTGCATTGTACCTGAACTCTACAGCTCTGGACACTTGATGATATCCTCTTGCAACAACAACGAGATGACAAGAAAAATAACGTAGAACAGGAACATAATTCCACCAAGTAGCCTGGACATCTTCCATTTGTTAACAGCAATCGTGACAACTACTGCAATTAACATTATGAAAAGCAAGAAGACAGAACAAAAGAGCCCAGAGCTACTGACTGTCACAGCGGCACCAAGATCTATTGCACTGCGAATCAACCATGGGAGAGGCAGCCTGCAAAGAACGAGATTACTTTTATCAATAATTGTTTATATGATTGCGCAATTGGTGCAAAGAAACCAGCTGATAATAGTATGCAATGATGATGATGATGAACTTAGATGATCATGACGATTATGACGCAGAATAAGATGAAGGTTAATTATGGTGATGACCATGATAGTGATGGTGATGACTATGATAGTGATGACAATGATCGATGATGATGATGATGATGATGATGATGATGGTAAGAAGTGAATGTTATCATGGAAGATGATGATCACTGAAATCTTTTTTAATTTCCACTTAAATAAATAAATACAATTATTTGTTTTTTTCCTTTCAGAAAGTCGTGGTGCAGACATTGGGGTGATGGGTGGAAAGGAGAAGGCCTTTCACTGAACATTCAAGCCATAATTTACTTATGGCAGATTTAGATGAAGAATACTCTTGCTCATATAATTGCTACAACATGTGCTGCTTGAGGCCCTGACAAAATAATCTTACTTAAATACACCGACACACAACTACTGCACATGGTGTCATTCCTTGGAGTTTTTAGGTAATGAAACTCAGCAGCCAGTTGAAGTCTTTTTTCCTGATTCGACTCAACCAGGGTTTCAAGCATGCAACATTCATCAGAGTCAAGTTACGCACCCTATTGTTACATCAAACATGTTGCTTCCAATTGAACTGGACACTGCCATGTCACCAAAGCCTTTCCTGGCCACAAGAACGCTAGTAATGAGATCTGGAATGCTAGTCCCAGCGGCAAGGAAGGTAAGACCCATGACCTACAAAAAGATGTACATAAAAATCAAATTATGACTCCACAACACATTAAAGGGCCATTTCTGAGTTGCCACAAGCCTCTGTTTCAAATCAAGGCAAAGTGCAAAGTCACTGACATGAAAATGAAACTTATTCTCACCAGAAAGGTTCTGCACTTAGCCGCGTTTTGAAGGTGAGAGTTTCTGGAACTTGGAAATGGCCTAGAAGCTACTTTGAGGAGGAGGGTGATGCAGATTAACAAGGTTAATCTACTCTTACAACACCTGTAAGAAGTCAGGAATTGGCTCTAAAACTGGTGGTCTGAGGGCCTTTTAAATGAAACCTGTTCACCAGTACTTTTACAAGTGACTGTTTCTTATTCCCTTATTTAATACAAATATGCAATTTTAAATAGACAGTGTTAAAGGCATGTTTTGCTTACCTCTGTAGATATACCAAGAGTGTAACCAACTTCAGTGGCAAACCAAACCATTAAATATGAAAAACCCACTATCCACAACATTGAACAAATAAATGTCCAAGGATACCAGGGTCTCTTCTCCTAGAAAAGACAGTTAAGGATGATTAAGTTTAACGCATTATTTGGACTTCTAGATGTCTTCGTTTTTGGTCTGTGGTAAAAGGGGCGTGGCTGATAAAAGCATCCAAAACCTCCTACAGGGCCCATACCCTTTTGAGCTCTTCAAAGTCCACGATCTTCCAAGCCTTTTCAATGACCTTTTCAAGTTTTCCATGACCTTAGGTTTAGCTGTCACTTTTGAAAAATTTTCAAAACTTTTGTGGTGTTAGGGTATCTTTCACACCCTTTTTAAAGGCCTGCAAGAAGACACACTTTTTTGTCTTCAAAGGTGCATCAAAAAATGCCCCAGGTGATTTTTGAAATTTTTTTCTAGATTATCCTAACAAAATACCCTGTATTTCCTAGTGAAACAAAAAGAGAATTTCACAAGAGATCAAGAGTCACTCAGAGTCCTTAGGGTCAGGGTTCATAATGACCCCAGAAAATTTTTTTATCTTCCCAGTGAAAAGGGGTTTAGGTAAGTGCTTGAATAGCCTGAGAAAACAGCTGACATTTGGTGACGCTACCACTGGTTTCCCCGCCAAATAACGTCTGAGAAACGAGCGAAGAAATTCCATACTGATGACGCGTCACTACCCAGATCTGGGTAGAGCTTCTGATTGGTTGAATCAAATTTCCCAGGGGGCACAACCAATCAGAAGCACTACAAAGATCTGGGTAGTGATGCGTCATCAATATGGAATTTTTGTGCTCGTTTCTCAGATGTCATTTGGCAGGGAAACCAGTGGTAGCGTCGCCAAATGTCGGCTGTTTTCTCAGGCTAGTGATTGAATTTTAACATGCCAGTGAAAATATTTGGTGACCAAGCAGAACTTGTAATAACTACCTTCTAAAAAGTAATAACAAGACTTGCAAATAAGCTAGTAATAATATTATTATTATTCCTGCTCATGTGACTTACTGGTCTTTTGATGTCCTGTGCTGTGTAATACATGCAAAACATTATAGGTGCCCTGATTAAGTAAGCAAGTCTGTCTTTCCATCCAGAAGGCCAACTCAAGTCAATAGGCTCACTGTCATCATCCACCTTCAAATAAAAATATATATTAATATATAAAATATGTTACAGGTCAAAATTAAATTCAGGTTAAATAAAATGCTTTGACCTATTACTAGCTCCAATTCATGGCTTTGAAAAGGACTGGACGCAAAGAACCAGCCAGTTGGCTGAAAGGATTAACCGGAATTTTTTTCAATTTTCACCTGTAACATAATGACTTAAAACTTTTCGTTTGCATATATTGACTACTTTTCAGTGATGTTATCTTCAAAAGAATGATTTTACTCAGAACAAATTTGTCGATCTAATGTATCAGTTAACCATAAATACATTTTATTCGATTAACCGCCCTGGGTGCTTATTAAATTTTTGGACCTTGAGAGTGGGCACTTATTCCAGGTGGGCCTTATTTGAGGCTGGGTGTTTAAATTGCCACTATTCACAGCAAGTGTAGTACGTATGCTTGTTTTGCAACAAAATAACTCATGGTAATAACAAAAATCAAAGATGTAACAAAGCAAGGTTTCTGTAAAATACTCTGAAGTAATGTCCGTTTTCGGGAGGGTCTCTTCTTATCTCTTCTTTGAGTTTGTATGGGAGGGAGCGGGGTCAGGGGGAGGGCGCTTATCAACTTTTTCTGCCTTTAGGATGGGCGCTTATTCGAGATGGGCACTAATTCGAGGTTGGGCACTTATTTGAATAAATACGGTAACCAAATAGGGGCTCCTGGAATAACCCTCCAAGTGACTGCTAATAGTTATTGTAAACTGCTATATTCTCCTACCAATTTGCATAATGCAAATTGGGATCAAAAAGAGGAATTTCAAGTAGTAGTCACTCAGGGCATTTAATTCCACATACCCCATCAAAGTATTTGTACTTACACAAGCTTCTCTCGCATCCTCGATTTCTACTAACTGATGATTTGAAGAATGTTGTAAGACCGTAGATTGAGAGTCGCGCGACTCCGCAGAAGTACTATAACCATTATTACTTTGTTCCACCATTCCTGGCACAGGTGATTGACTAGGTCTGTTAACCGTATTTTCACTAGGAAATATGTGCACATGAGGCAGTTCTCCATTTACTACACTAGATTTTCTAGATGTATTGTCTCCTTCCTGAGTATACAAATCTGTCTTTGAGGTTTCGTTGTCAGTATTTGAGTTATTGTTTTTTTGAATTGATGAAATGGAAGCATCATTCGCTGAATTATTTATTACTGATAAATGAAACTGTTGGTGGTGTTCATCATTTGCACCATTGTTAACCACACTCTGGCTTCCAGCTGCTGAGTCTGTTTCCATCCCAACTTTAACATTAAGGCATTTCAATCTTTTTAACCTGTTCACTTTCACTGCAATAGATGCTGTTGACCAAGCAAGAAAGAATTAAGGTTAGTAAATGATTATAAGACGGCATTTCTGCTGTACCGATGTAATATTTAACAAATTTGTATCCGTATACGCAAACTCTCCCAAATTATCCTGAAGTTCCCTGGAATATCGCACAAATCGCCCTGTTACCCGTACAGGTCACCAAATTTCCTGGGAAAAATTGAATTTTGAGCTTTTCTGAGCTTTCATTTCATATAGACCTTTTTAGCTTGTATGTTTTGTTTTCCCAACTCAAACCATGTGATGTTCCCTAGGAAATTTGCCTTTTGTCTTGACATAAATTATGCATACATAGGCACATGGATGCACATGCATACAGGTGTAGGATGACATTTGAATAAAGAAAAAGTTCTCTGGAGTACCATCTCATGGTCTGAAATGTGAAAACAAAACAATTACAAGCTATTTTTTTTTCATTATTCTTTCAATCATAGGACAGTTTCTCAAGCATTGTTTCATGTATTTCATCACTGACATCACTTATGGTCTGTTCTTCATGTAAGACTACGTGTAATGTTCAGGGAGGTTGATGTTGGGGGATTCTGCAAGAGAGACAGACTCCACATTACAGTCGAACCCCGCTATTTCGAAGTCCCAAGGGAAATGGAAAAAAGCTCGAAATAGCGGGGTTTCGAAATAACCGGGGTAGCGTAAAATTCATAACAATGAATCATTTTTAAATAAAATACAGTACAGTATGAAGAGAGGCGCTGATTAAATAAAAATACAAAGTCGAATGATCAGAATAGAGACAGCAGAGTTCATACATGAGTATTTCTGCCAGAAGAACAGTTCACTAACAGTGCGTTTTGGTTTTGCAATTGAATAACACAGCTGGAATTTCTTAGCGGGACACTGCACGTGAGTCAAGCATTGTTAAGTCAGTAATTACGTAACAGGAGCTTAAATAAAATGCAATATGTTTCCAGCTGTGCTCTTATGTTCGTACTCTGTTTTTGACAAGTTCGAAATAACGGGGTTGATTTAAGGTGTAGGGAAAGAACGATGAGTTCGAAATAGCGGGGAATTCGAAATAACCAAGTTCGAAATAGCTGATAGTAAATGACTGAAAACATAAGGGCAAATCCAAGGGAATTCGATCTTCCTTCAAAATAGCGGGGACTTCGAATTAACCGTGTTCGAAATAGCGGGGTTCGACTGTATATATCTCCAGAGATTGGCATCTCTATGTATCTACACTGTCTGGATACAAACTTTCAGGCAAAGCCACTCTAGGCTAGAAAAGGTTAGTCCCCATGAATGTTTGTGGGGGAAAGGTTCTGATATGGCACCAAGAACGTGTAGGAGATTGTAAAGAAATAAAATAAGCCTTCAAGAGATACACCACATAACTGTCTGTTGAGCTGTCAGCTGGTTTAAGCTATGATCATATACTCACCCTCTCCTAAAGGATCCATGCTGTGAATTACAAGTTGGAGTACTCCATGGCGGAAGCAGGGAAGGCCATTGTTTGCTTTGGATGAAGTACAAAGACTTTCCACTGCTTTCTGTTAAGTTTAAAAGAAAGCAAGGATTTTAGGGTAAGAAACATTATTGATAACACTTTTAATCAAAATACGCTTTATAAGCAGTAGTCTTGCACTAGTGGTTGCTAATTGATTCTTAAGCATTAACAAGTCCTTTTAATGTCCCACATGGGTAATCATGAATGACCTGTAAATGACTAGTGAACTTGTATGCATTAATTTAGAAACATGAAATATATTATGTAATACAGTCAAACCTGTATAAAACGGCCTTGTATATAGCAGTGACCCTGTATATGACAGTCAATGCACAACTTCACAAAATTTTCAGTTGCCTTATATTTTCTGCTTCAGTTCAGATCATGACCTGTACAGTCATAGTAGTCACCCTGTCTATAACGGTCACCTTGCCTTTTCCCAAGGGTGACTGTTAAACACAGGTTTGACTGGACATAAAAGAGCTAGGACATTCTAAAGGAAAAACACAAACCCTCTAGAATGATGGCCATAGGGTGCAATTTGCTACAACAACTGTTAGAAAACCTTTTGATAATATTAAACACTTTTTTTAGAATCAACTCAACAACAATATTAACCCAAAAATAGACACCAAATAATACCAACCCTAAAACCAATATCTACAGAAACTTTGCTTTTAATGATACCCGTCAACTGAACATTAATTCACTAACAGTGGCACAGTAATTTTGACACCTAAATTAGCAACTCTTGAATGTGCTATTAATGTCTTCAGGAAGAATAAATATTAGGAGCAGAGAAGTTAACACCAGGAAATATCCCTGGCACATATAAGAATATTTCTAAATTAGACTTCAGATAATACTGGCAAAAGGGAAGAATTACAACATTCATAATCCATTAAAAATCCAAACAGGATTGTCCTATTAACATGAAATTCCACAGTCAAGAATAACCAGACGATAATAAATTGCTGGGCTAAAAATTAACTCCAGTGTTTGGTGGCCAGTCAGGCCAGTTGTAGCCTGCAGGGAGCAGACCCTTTTTTCAGCTCTTGTTTCACCCACCCAGAAAATATATTTTTTTCTATTTTCTCAGAGGGTGAAACAAGAGCTGAAAAAAGCATCTGCTCTTCCCTGGTTAAGCCGGTTGTGGCCAGACCAAAATATCTGCATGCTGCTGTTGAGGCAATATGACTTAGAAAATGGAGCAAAACTAGGTAGCCCGAGTCTAGGGTCACTTAGCAAAATTTATATAGAAATGGAGTATTTGGTATGGATTAATCTTATGCTACTTACAAGCCCCTTGGCATTTTTAACGTTTGAACTAAAGATTCTCTTAATTTAGAATGAAGGGAAAAAGGTAGTCTAGTATAAAACAAATTAAAGTTAATTCTTATACTGCATATGGTGCAATAAATCACTTCTTCCTATAATATTTGAGGGTGATCAAACCTCAACTTTTAGTTCCCCTGGCCTGTCTTAAGATCACATTGGAGGGTAACTTTAAGACCACATATTTTTAACCCTATAGATGATTACAGACATTCTGTGACAAGGAGACACATTAAACAGTGAGGATTGCGATCAACCACCTTTAAGCAATCTTTTCATATGCCCTAGACGAAAAAGACCATTTGAGACATTAGTTTCACCAACCCAAAAACAAGACAATTCTTATTCACGACCCTTGTACCTGTAGTTCAATAAATTTGCTTTCACTAAAGGTTGATTCAACATGCAAAGCACGTACGTAAACTTGGAAACTCACTCGTGGCAGACAGAAAACATCTCAAAGCATAAATTCCTGGATAACCTCTCAACAATTTCTTTTTCACAGTGACAAAAACATCCACGGTTTATTATTTTGTCAACGATTTTTCTGCAAAAAACTCTTCTGCAGGATAAAGGACCACTTAATATTCCCAGAGAAAGCTTAGTCAAACTTGCTTCTTGGATGTTACATAAAACATTTCAATAAGCATGAAACAAATCTTGTCCACGTTATCATTTATATCATAATCTTTCTGAGCTGACACATAATAAGCTTATATAGCAAATGAAACAAACTGGGGGCACATATGGAATATATAATTTTTAAGCCCCACTTATTTTTTCACCGTCTTTTAGAGCCGTTTGTTCTATGCAAAAGAAAATTTAATTAGTAACCTTTATATGCCATTCTGTTTGGAATTCTGACCTGATTAATTCGAGGAGGATTACACAAAATTCGCACTAGTGTTCCCGCAGATTACTGAATTACTTTTACTCACGCATACAGTGAAATCTGATAGGAGGGTTAAGACAAATTAACCTAAGTGAGATTTAAAGCGATTACAACTTTGTACTTCAACTTAATCTAGCTCGTTCCCCATACTTCAAGCACACACTTCTAAAGACATTGGATTACAACATGCGTCCTCTTGTCTAATTAGTAAGTTCTACCTGTTTACTATTTACATCTCGCCCAACAATACAAAGTCACTATTTACACGGAAAAGTTCAATATCTGGCTCAATGTATTAACGAGTGGCCAACACCTTTCCATCGCCTTCAAGAAGAATTTGAGAAAGAGCAAATATATGTGGACGTCGTGAAGACGTTTTAAACATAAACAAACCCCGTAAAATTATGTCGCTATAAAAACTGGGCAAAATTATAAAATCAAGGTGAATTAACACATTTCCATCGGTGTTAGTAACATAATTGTTTTTTTCCGAGTGAAAACGATATGTACAATTTGTTCTTACAAACTTCTTTTAGCGTGTACGTATTTTTGAACAATTTGTATTCATCTTTTGTTATTCAAAATTGCCCGTCAAAGAGGCCGAATAGTAGATTTCTCTTTCATTTACATAAAAGAAAATTATATTTCGAGTTAACTGCTTTAACCAAAACAAAACAGTCTAAAATTGGTCACTCACAGCTTGAAAATAGAGAACCACTACAATTTGTGGAACTATAACTAGTACTTAAAATAGAAGTTCGTCCATCTAAAGTCACAAACATTTAATTAATATTCTGAACTATATCTCCAAAAAAATCTAACTTGTTTGAGTACCTGATAACTGATGTTGAATAGTTCAGCATACGACATTACGCGATGTTACGATGTCTTATAAACCTAGATTTGAACAACTTTGGGAACTATAATACCAGTTTCCTGTTTAGGGATTTGCGTTGAGGGAGGTTAAATATGACCATCAATTGACACTAATAAAGGGGAATTAAACAACGGACAATTTTTTATTTCCTCGTGCGAGTCAAGACTAGCAACACATAACACATGAAATATAAAATTACTTACCTCAAGATGAGCATCTTCGCTGCCTTTATGTCTTCCTTTCGAGTGTATTGCGCTCACTTTGTTAGATTTAAGCATACGTTTAACCCATCTTTCAACGTTGTGGTTATACTTCATAAACGTAACGTATATAATATATGTGAGGATTAATACGAGCGATTCCCACCACTCAATAGCACTATCTTCAAAGAATCCAATAAGAATTATCAGAGCCGCGCTGTAGAACATACAGTCGCGAAATAAAGGCCACCAAGTTAGATGCAAGACCTCCTTCGAGAACACGGCGCACATGCCAATGACAAACAAAACATTGAACACGGCAGAACCCACTATCGTTCCAAATCCGACGTTCGAATCGGGAGCCGCAAATACCCCAATAAACGAAGTGCAAAGCTCGGGCATACTTCCACCAGCAGCCATAAAAGTAGCACCAGCCACATCTTCTGAAATGTTTAGTTTCTCTGTGATTATGACAAGCGCAGGAATGAAGAATTCGTCGCACGCAATCGACAGTGCTAAAAACATATAACACATCCCTATGATGTACAAAATTACAGCACCTTGGCGCATCTGCTTTAAAGTAAAATGATTATTCGGGTATTCACCCTTTTTGCTAGAATCCTCAGCCAGCAAAGTTCGATGTGTGAATAAACTTTCGTCGCTGCTTGACGAATGCGATGTGTCGTCAATGTCCAGAACAAGAACATGCAGCACGAGACTGCACAACAACACGGATGTCAAGAAGAAAACATAAGGATTGTTCGTTCGCCGGCGGAGCCGTTGCCACAGAACTGACCGTTCAAACTTCACCACCATGTTTCGTTGTTACAACAACGAAACGAGCACCGAAAACAAATTTATCGAGTGCTTACTTTGCTATCCGTTTGAAGACTGCGCGAGTGTGCCGATTTCATTCCGTTTCTCTGAAGAAGGCAAGAGGATGTTGTATCAACTCGCTAATTTCCAGTTTCGTCGCCGCTTCACTTCTACACGTACAAAACATATTATCTTGGAGCGAGTGATATAATGATAGCTGCTCTGGTCAATCTACAAATGGGATATATTCCTTGTCGAGAGCTCATCGCTCGATACACACTCCAATTAATAGTGTTCAATCCGCTTTGCAAGATCGTTGTCAAGTAGCCAAAGTTATGTTAAATAGTACTTGCTTCACCGGCGAAGAAACCCTCTGCAGAGAGACAAAAAGGAAGAAATGAATCCCCAAGGAAGAGTATGCCTGGGTTACCGCTATTATTGTTCCATGTTTGCGGTGTCATTCCTTCTTCACCGGGAAAAATATAAATTTGGTATGAAAGCTTAGCAACTCCGAATTCTCCCAGGAGGCAACGCGGTAGGTGGCTATTATCCAGGATAACAAAGAACTGTACAAAACTGTAATGTTGCAATCTTTACACAGTTTCGCTTCAATAACAAATTTTATTTTATTTTTTATTTTATTATTATTTTTATTATTATTTTTTTTTGAAATGCTTAATCTTGTGTAAATCGAAAGCCTACGAGAGGTTCTGGTCAAAGTTCAAAACATTAGCGGGGCTTAGTCGTGCAAAAAAATAAATAGATAAAAACGTTTGCCAACAAGAAGAAGAAGAAGAGGGAGGGCTGAATGCAAAGCTATGAGAATGTATATAAACTAGAAATACATGTATCGCAGAACATTCTCACATATCTGCACAGTCATTGCTTTTTTATTTGTTGGAGTCTGAAGAGATTCCTAACTCAGACTAGTGAATCGACAATCCCGCATTACTGGTTCTTGATGGTAGCCCGACTCCTTGTGATCTTTACGTCCACAGACACATGGTTGGGAACTTCCAGATTTCTGTTTAAATCGTTTAAGCTCTTAGCCAGATACGTAACATCGTAACTGTGACCATTCAACTACGGCCAGGGGCCCAGCTATCCGCCAATAGAGTCAGAGGCAGGAGAGGGTACAGTAGTCCCGCACCTTCCAGCCCCACCTTATTTTTGGGCCAACAAGAGGCCCACAGGGCAGACAAAAATAATGAAATTTCACCTGAACATCTGCGTCTTTTTGTTTACATATATTTTTTGAAACAAAAGAAAAAAAACAAGCCGCCATCGCACTTCCTTCACCAAAAATTTCTGCAGCTTTTATTTTAGACTGAGAAAGTTTCTAGGTATCATTTTCTAAGCAAGATGGCCACATAAACTGTCAGCAACGAGGGTGACCTAGACTTGATCGAAACCGCTTATTCAGAAACCACAGACGATTCGTGGCTATACTGGCAAATTTTCATTTTGTGCAGATTAAACCAAATTGACGAAGAATTACCTCAACATTTTCACTCAACTGCTATATGGGAAGACAGATTTCTGACAGGTGTAATAACTCATATCAAAACTTCGACAGTTAGTCAGGGTAGAAGGATAAATATACTCTTTGTTTTCAGGCAGACGTTTTATCGTCAGGTATCGCATTTCCGTTCTCTGCTTAGGCTTATCCAGGTTTTTGACCTGAATAAAGGAGCATGTTGAACAGTTTGCGAGACATGACCTATTTTACCTGGTGGATTTGCTCATTCACAAATCGTTATCATAGTTCAGTTGAGCCTTTTTTTTCCAAAAAAGATCGATAAGTTCCTTCTTTGTATTTAGAGATAAAAAACAAAATTTACCGCGTACACAGATGCATACAAAAACAACTTTCTCGTCTAGCTCTAAAAGAATTGATCGCGGCTGTTTATAATTCGGGCCTTGGCTTCATCATGCGGAATTGTACTCGACATCAGCCTGGAGTTGCCTGGAATATATTTTCAGGCCACGGGTCAAGTATGACTTAAAAACGTTTTTATCAGTGCCTCTGTAGCTTTTTTTGTCCTTCAAGTGCCAAAATCATCACCAAGTTTTTTAGAAAAACGCTTTCTTTAGTGATTCGTATTTGTTCCAAGGCCCCGATTGTAGCTTGCCAAGTACCGATTTTTCCTGAGGGAGGGGGACGTCGAAACACACGCACCCGAGGCGAGCGGGCGGGACGCTCGGACCACGTGACCTGAAACGCTTTGGCCGCGCGAAATAATGAAGCCTAGGGAACAACCGGGAGACACCGAACCTACGTAGAAACGCTAATCAATTCCTTGCAGCTGCTTCCTTTCAAAAGTCTTAGAAAAGAATCAACTCAATTGATTGAACTTTGTGGAAGTCACAATACCAGCAAAACGCAAACTGAATATTGAATGAGCACCAACTAAGCCAATATTCTTCTTCTCAGGCATCGTACAAACTTTGGAATAATCATGCAATCATTGATCAGTATCATAATCATATCCAATCTAAGTTCTGATAAGATACTCTTGCACCAAGAGTGGATGTAAACCAGTTTTGTAGCTGCATTGATAATGTTTCATTTTAGTCTATATTGAGTTGATTGTTGATGAATAATAAAGCACTTGCTTAGTTATCAGCTGGATTGCTGGCGATTTAGCGGTGCTCGGTTAATCAGTCTTTGGATCTTAGAACTCTGCTATTAACCCCATTCTTTCGGAGCCTCTGGACCTCCACCAGGACTCAGTTCTGGTCTATCTTTCAGTGACGTCATGCTTTAAACATCATTGTTAGGGACGTACTGAACTACCAGCTGCTTACGCGCTTACCGAGCTAAATTACTACTCAAGAAATAAAACACCTCATACTACTACATGAGAAATTTCTACAATTTGATTGGCTTAGAGCTGGGATATTTCAGCTTAATTTGAAATACCTACATGTGAAAATTACAAACCTTTTGCGGGTAGTAGTACAAACAAATAATGGCACTATGATGATTTGTAGTGATATTTGGCATAAATACCACTGTGATATTTCAAAACTGTCTCCAATTTCACTCGCCTAACGGTTCGTGAAATTACGTATAACAATTTCGAAATCGTGGTATTTATGCTAAGTATCACTACAAATCATGCTATTACACGGAGGTACTAGTATATGACAAGCTGGCATGATATCAAATATCAGTGTACGCAAAAGCATTTCAAGTTTAGTTAAACGCAATTATCGGGTGTTCCAATGCAAAATATTTTTATCTAGAATATTGTGAGTTGAGAACTGCGTGGATAGTTTAAAAACTGCCGATTCATGCTAGTGTTAATATTGCTGTGCTTTTCAGTTTTCACCTGTACAAAGCGGAAAATGTTCAAACCAAGATAAAACCTAAACAAGACGAAATTATATTTAAAAAATGTTTTTAGTTTAAAGAGAGAATTGAAAAGAAAAGCTATCCACTAACAGCTTTTAGATGAAGACATTCAAGTAGTTCCATTTCATGAAAAGTACGACTTCAGAGGACAAAACAAGTTTGACTGAAATTTGTCATGAATGTTAGCCAAGTAAAATTTAAGAAGAATACTATTATTTCTAAGGCAGAACCAAATATAGTCAATGACGGTGAAAATTATAACATCGCAGCATTTATTCAAAAGCACTGAATTGAGTAACAGCTATATAGATTATATTCCGGGATAAATTTGTGAATTAGCAGCTGCAGGTGGCGGCGAAAGTGTTCACCAATTCAAATTTGACGAATTTAAATCTCTCCAGGTGGCTTGTCGAGAAATATCTGGAGAGATTCTTGTACCAAGTTGCTATAGCTCTATGTATACGAATAAACACATTCGACAGGGGGGAGGAATAAAGCCTTCTAGTAACCAAGGAAACGTTCCACTACTAGCGGAATAATCATCATCAGAATCATTTTCAGTTTTGAAAAACATGTACAGGTTTACTGTACAGGTTTACAGGAGTAACTGACACTTTTCAAAGGAATAGTATGGACAATAGTTAGCAGGCATAACCGCGTGAAGTTTCAATGGACGGGCATCAACCAAACCACAGAAAAGAGAACGTTATTGCAGAAAGACTTGACAGTAAAGAGCGACAATTCGCTATTTGGGTATTATTTTATAGAGACTGACGTTTTGTTAACACTTGATAAAAAAACAAATCTTGAATATTATCAAACAAAAAAGTAGAGGGTTAAAATTAGCAATAACAGAATGTGAACCAACATGTTATTTTCACGGGATCACAATAAAGCGAAAAATATCCGACCAACTGTACGCATGCAAGTGATAGAACCTGTCTCCAAAACAAATTGTGCCGAATGAGAGTACGCAAAACATATTTCAAATATTTTAAAAAGTTTCGTCGTTAATAAGCTGGTGTAAAATGCTTTATTCAGTGTCATTCGACTTTTAAAGTTGCGGCATTTTAACCATGACAATTAAATTTCTAGCTTTCTTAAATAACGGTGAATAGTATTTACACTTCTCCTTTTATGTTATGATTCCTTAAGAGGAAATTCAAATTACATTTTTTAAAGTAAGTCTTTTCGTACGTATGTGCACCTACACCGAGGAGTGAACTTGAATTTTGCATTTAATTTATCTTTCAGTCTTTCAATCTCTATTCTAGTTATCTGGTCATTTGCAAAGAGTTTCGGTGCAAATATTAAAAATCTTCTTCTTATAAAAGTACGTGCTGCTCGATACTTCTTCTTGAAAGCATTATTCAATTTCCGTATGACGGCGCGCAAAGCTCGCCGAAAACATGATTTACTAGTGTTTAATAAAAAGAAAGTAAACATTAAGTATTTCAGCTAAGTTTGAAAGCTGAGTTTCTATTTGATAGAATTCCAGCTAAAAAAAGGTGTTTAGGACCAAATAAAATGCCTCACAACCCCGAAAATATCAAACTTTATGTTATATCACAACCGTGTAGGTCACACGTAGGTAACAATTCGAAACATATTTTGCTTTCTTTTTCTTTTCTTGTTTTTGCTTTCTTTTCACATCTTGTTCCGTCAACATCGATATAACTTGTGGTCTGCAAAGTTTCAAACTCTGGCAATAGAAAGAGGTTAACATTGAAAATTTTGAACGGGTCGGATTGAAATGATGCCACTGTTCCATATGGCAACTGAAAAATTTATGTGGGATTTAAGACTGAGGATTTGTTTGCGCATTTCGTGAAAGGAAATTTTCCATCTCTCAGACCTCATCGCTGGGAGAATACTTTTGAGGTACACTTCAAAAACGGAAAGCTATCATAAAATATCATCTACCCGTGCCAACAAAGAAGGAAGGAAGTTGTTTACCTTGGGAAACCGGTCTGAAACTGTTGTGTTGCAAATTTTAAAAAAGAGATCTTTAAATTAGCTCGCTTTGTTTGCAGACAGGACTCGATGGAAATTCAGGAAGTATAAATAAATGGAGTTGATTTCAGCCATTTTTTGTTTTAGGTTAATTATAGTAGATTTAATTTTTTCGTCTCGTTGGAAAGCCCGAGAGATTCCCTGC